GATCGAGAAGTGCACGTAACAAATGTTGATGACCATTCGCCGATTCTGCTTTCACTAAAGCTGTCGCTAATAATACATTATGCATATTTCTGTTAGCGAAATGGTTCGTCACGTTTTCTGTCAACTCAAGGTTTTCGATTTCGTTTACAGTATCTTCGCACTCCTGAGCCAAAGCTACTTGTATGTCTGCGTGCTGTGGATCCGTCATGCCTTTCGGGTGCAGTAATGAGTGATGACGTCGTTGACATATTTGACAAGAGGTGGTGTTACGGCAGTACTTAGAAGTATGATTACTTAATAAACAATTAAAACACAAGCCGTTATTTTGGACAAAGTCACGCTTTTCATCGTACGATGCATTACAAAATTTTTTACAATGTATGATTCTGTGCTCTCCCTTACAGTAAGTACAATGAAGTTGCGATACATGTAATGTCTGTATTTGATTAGACTTAGGATAGTTATTCCTCGAATAACCTTTGTAATTGTTACTGAATTGACTCTTATAATTAGATGAGCCAGGTTCTAGAAATTCGAGAGAGTGGTATCGTTTAACTAAAAACTCTTGGAATTGTTTTAAATTTGGTAAAATATTAGAATCTGAAGTTACATCACTAACAATCGCTTCCCATTGCTTACGACTTTCTTGATCCAACTTCAAACTGACTATATAAATAATAATAATATCCCAAGACTTAACATCTATACCCAAATTTTGTAGGCCATTCAAGGAATCCATCATATTATCTAATAATTCTTTTATTGCATTGGAGGATTCAACTGATAAAGATTTTTGATTGAAAAACCGGTTTAATATACAATTGGCTAAATATTGTTTATTATCGTAACGACTCTCTAACAGAGTCCAACATTGCATATAATTTTCATTTGTAATAGGAATATGTCGCAATAGTTGTTCAGGCTCTCCTTTGAGGTAACCCTTTAAATAATGTAATTTTTGCACATTTTGTAAACCACTATTATTATGTACTAATGATTTAAACAAGTCGCGAAAACTCATCCATTCCGTATATAAACCAGAAAAAGTAGGTATTACAATTTTTGGTAATTTAATTACAGAACTATGCTGCGGTATATTATCTGATGATTTAGAGGGCGTTTTGAAAGACATTTCACATTCAATTTTCTCTATTTTGTCACTAATTTCAGCTACTAAATCTAGATAAAATTCTTCAGTACTTTGATATATGTCAGATTTGAAATATTCCGTTTCATTGAGGTCTTCCTTGGATGTAATTAATTTAACATGCGTAGAATTAAATTCTTCCCACTTCTTTTCAATCAAATCCAGTCGCTTCTTTAAATGTTGTCTTGTTAATCTTTCTTTTGGACTCTTCTTAAAGTTCGTTTTGGCATTCTCCAATTGTGCCCGCAAAGCAGTCTGAACTTTTATTAAATCCATTGTTAAAATTATAAGAACTAATGTTATGAATCTTAAAAAACCACTTCAATTTGTAAAATTTTTCTAAGTGTTTTTATCTATTCAACTGGGTGTAAAATCGGGCATAGGTTCCCCGTAGTAGCACTTTTACTTAAATTATTCTAAGTCCCTATATAATTTAAAGTTATTTTTCTTGAACAAATAAAGTCTAAATTTGTAACATAAAAGTACTCACAATGTTTTGATTCACTTCACTAGCTTACGTCACTGTTCCCTGCTAATAAATGGCCTCTGCTTCACTTCCTGTAGGTGGCGCTGTTATACTCCTTTCTGGTGTAGTTACCGATGTGATGTTGCTAGTACGTTACTGCTGTTGTCAAACTGAGGTGTTGCTGTTGCCGTTACAATTGATAATACTGCTCTGCTGTGTTCTAGGCTCTACGTACGGTGAAATAAGGGTTACTGTGATGAATAAAACCAAGTCCTGTCGACATTCACAGATAGATCCCATCAACGACAATCCGTCGCTCCGTTCGAGACCTTTAGGGCGCTTGTGCACTACACTGAATTTTCATGTCCGGCGGTCCGATTTTTTCAGATCCGATATGTCAGGCCATATGTAGGTAATGCGCGCTTGTGCACTGTCAGGAATTTTACCGTCCGGAATTTTACTTTTCTCTATTCCGGACCGGTTTTTTCAGGTCCGTGATGGCGGCAATGAAAAACGTGTTTACGCTTGTGCACTGCTGTGTCCGAGATCCGGAAAATTCATAAGGAATAGGCTTGGGAAAAAATAATCGATTTGAATCGATATTTATTTCGGCAATATTGTTAATTTCCAATAAACTTATAATCGATATTTATTGTTGATTATAAAATACTATATTTTATATGATGATTTAATATAGTTGGTATATATCACTGCATATGCTTTGGCAAACTCGGTATAGTTCTAATTTGATCAGCATATGGTTCTAGTATCGATACTTAGCTAGATTTTAGAATCTTATTAAAAGTATCGATAGCTTAAGTAAGATAAATAAGTGTTGTTACGTTTGGACAACTGAACCCATCTAAATGGAAATTAATATAGTAAATAGACTTAACTTTAAGAAAGGACATAGGCTACATTTTATCGCGAAAAATAGGGGATGAAAGTTTGCCTGGAAATTTGTCATTATCAAATTTTTTTAAACAATTGATAAGTATAGATAAATATTTGACAACAGAAGTAATAATAAAGAATAAACAGAAGATTAACATAAGTAATTAAGTGACACTCAATGTCTTTTTCGCATTTAATAAAATTTTAAATGTATGTTTGTGTCATTAATAAATTTTTAAAAAATAAGTATTCTAAGGGAATAATATTTCTGCTCAAAGAAACTACACCACGCGTATAAAATTATGCCTATATATAATACAGTCAACTGATCTCGTAAAGTTCATTTAGCATAATATTTCTCCGCTTACACGGTACTAATTTCGATTTGTTTACGAAATGGCGCCACCGATTGGTCTATCTCTGTAATCGCTGAAAGTTGTTTTTACAAAACTTCGAAAAAAAATAGCACATTTAAAAATTTAAACATCAAGTACTAGACCATTATCAGTAATTTTATTCTAATGTCAGATATTTTTAGCTATTGTATGTGAATAATGTTGTTCCTAAATTAGTAAGGGTATAAGTTTTTACATCTGATAGTAGTCATCCGATAGTAGTAAAAAAAATGCTTTCGTCATGCCATAATTTATTATGGTTTATGTAAAACGATCAGATCATTATTTAGGTACCTTTTTACGTCTTCGAATGGAATTACCAACGTTCCAAAAATCTCACCGTACCTAACGTAAGTGACGTGTAGCTTCAAAGAGAGCTGCCCTACACTGCGCCGCTCCGATCAGGAAAAAAACGGACAAGTGCACAAGCTACTCATCCGAGTTTTTCATGTCATTCCGGACCGGAAAAAATCGGACCGCCGGACCTGAAAATTCAGTGTAGTGCACAAGCGCCCTTACTGAGGGCAAACAATTGAATCCTTTGCCAATCCGGCTCGAAGGACCATGTTCGATGCTCAGTCAGTCCAAAAATAAACTGTAACGCCCCAAGGGTATCAATTTTCAATAACACAATGAAACGCACAGATAAGTAAATGCACAAAAGCCTTTAATATGGAAAATGAAATAAACTTATATCAATGACTAAAATTCTTAACACCGCCATTTACACAAAACTATAGCGCCATCTATTAGAAATTAATTGAACTAAAAATTCATAGTAACATTTTATACAGACATTTTGCTCTAAAAGCCGGACTTATTATAAGGGATTATTTGATATAAAAAAATGCTGCAATTTATAGTTATTTTTTATACACATAACGCCACGTTAGTGCTTTGCGTAAGCGTTCGTTCTGCAGACGTTGCGAGCACTGCGTGGGTATACAAAAGGCCAGGCACAACCTTAAAATTGAACTGTAATAGTCATAACATTAGAATTATTGTTAAACACGGGATTGCAACCATAATATTAACTTTTTAACCTCATATTTATATAATCCCATGATTAACAAATATTACAACCAAAAAAAAACCGGATAAATGACAACCCTATGTGTGTAGCACCTAGGACAGTTAATTTATTGAATCAAGGTAATGGATGCTTTTACAATTCTCAGTGTGACGATTTTATCGTAGACATTCATAATAAATATAATTGTATTTCTTTCTTTTATTACACAAGTAATAAGTTTACTTCGGTTACCATAGTTACATTTATAATTGAAAACACTATTTAACAGAACTTAACTTAAATTTAGTCTATTTTGTACAACATAATTAATACCAATATCTATGTTGACACTGTAGAACTCTGACGTTGCGTGCTTCAAAGCTTTTTATTTTGCGCCACCAGCCAAAAAGGTTATGAACCTCTGAACTTAAGTAATTATTCTAATATATACTTAGTATATAAAAGGGTTGCCCACGCCCCAAAATCTATCATAATTTTATCTCTGACAATGACGAACTTCTATTCAAACTTTAAATCCCTATTTCAAACTTTGTATCACAATAAAAGCAACCTATGTCCTATCTCAAGTCAACTATTTTACTGGGTTGAGGGTGACAGCTTGACAGACATATACACATACCTACTTTCGCTATAATATGTATATATATTAAAATACACTTGCAAAGCAATTGTAACTAAATACCTAAAAACTCTTCACTATCAATACTGAAAACCTTATCCAACCTAAATAAAAAAACCATAAATAGGTAGGTACTTTACTTACTTTACATAATAATAAAAATGGTAACAATATAAAGAAAATTTGATATACACAACTTATAACAATTCATTCATTCAATTTAGATAGCAAGTGTAAGATTCATTAAAATAATCACAGGTGGCTTTTAGCCTGTTGCACATACGTCCATTAAATTTTTCATTAGGTTAAAGCGACATTAACCATACAAATTTGACATTCATTGAAGCTTAAAGGCATTATTAAACCTTAATGGAAGTTTTGCGCAACTGGCCGTTTGTAATCTATAATGTATTTTATGCAATTATAATACGATTCATTGTTTGTTTTCAGCCGAGCTGAGATGGTTGTGGGAGTCGTGCAACAAAACTGAGATGAATCAAGGCGGACTAAAACACGCTGCCACGGAGTCGAGGCTCGATAGTAAACGTGAGTAAAGCAGATCAATCTGAATTTCCGAGCCGAAGGAGACGAACTTATACAATTTTATTAATACATCTTCCTTCAAAACTAAAGACAGCTACATTAATATTCTGATGATCCGAATCGTTGCTGAATGCCTACTATTTGTTTGTCCTCGAACGAAAACTCGGAAAATTTGGAATCGTTGTTATAATTTTGTTAAAATTATACCCGTGAAGATTATCTGTACATACATCAGAGGCAGCTCTCCATTGCCACAACACGTGGTCGAATAGCATGACAACCACACGTGAACTATTTTTCATTCAATGAGCGTTTTCGATCTTTGAGCGTAACATATCTAATATACACCGTAGCACTAATACCTAAAAAAAAATTCATAGAACATGCTGCGTCCTTTTTTATTGTCGATTTTTAGTGCTAACTTTATGTTACTTGTTTAAAGCCATGATTCTCACATTTTTCTGTCTTTTACTAGATATAAACGATAAATTTTGTTCTGAGAATTAGTTGTCAATGTATTTTAGAACCATTCTGTAGTATAAAGCTATTTATTTACAGTACAATAATTTTTGACAACAAAACATTGTTTACCTATCTCTTGTGAAACCATAAATAACTTTTTTTTTCTCTTTATTTAACTTTAAGAATACTTAGTCTCATGTTAGACATTTGCTTACATCAAAGATTGAGCACCACTACCTTTAAAGTGACTGCTTGCCATGTAGGTACATAGCATACCTATCCTCCTCCTCATGTAATTTTCCTCATTACCTTGTGTAGTGACCCCCTCGGCGAAAAGTCAGTTTTTCTCTTACGAGATTCTCCATCTGCTCCTGCCCTCGGCACTATGGAGAGCGTCGTAGAATTTTGTGCCGAGTGTAGCGCAAACTTGGTCAGACTATCCCGTAGGACTGCGCCCCTTCGTTCGTTTCCCATCCACCCTGCTGGTTTCCATTAGTTCTCGATATTGTTTCCGTCCTTGCGGACAGTGTGACTAAAGAAATCCAGAATCTTTCGCAAGCATCTGCTTCCCTAGTGGAAAGCCTATCCTTGATGTTAAGTTCGCGAAAGATAGATTGGTTTTTGCAGTATGCAGTCTACGAAATCTGTAGCATATTCCGCTAACACGACACTTCTAAGGCGTCAATACTGTTTAGATCTGCCTTTCTAAGCGTCCACATCTCCGAACCGTAGCTAAAGATAGAGAACACTAAAGAATTCACCAGTCTCATTTCTGATTTTAGAGATATGTTGCGCTCTTTCCATATTGTCTGAAACATACCTATATTACATGACAATGTAACTCATTCCTTCAATCGACTCGAAGAGTCGACTATTATTGACTTGAGTGGCAAGTTTAGTGACAGCAGCTGATACTTTCCCAACTCTCCTTTCGCTACGGAGCTTAATTATTGAAACATTCGTCTCGTGTCGAACGCTCGGTTTCTACTCATTTTGGTACGAAATAAAACATTTCGTAAAAAATCATATTATATCAACCACTCTCAAAAAAATATACGTCAAAATGAAAAGGTTTTTTTTTAAATAGCTTAAACATGCTTTTGATACTCTATAAAGACCTAAAATCTTTTGAGAATGACCTATTCAAATTATTACGACACTAGTAGTGTACATAGGCTCATTTTTAGGGTTCGGTATGTCGAAAGGAAAAACGGAACCCTTATGGGATTACTTTGTTGTCCATCCGACCGCCTACTAAGACCCCTCATTCTTAAGAACGTGTGGAAGTATCAAGCTAAAATTTATATCAAACACTCAAGTCTACTGTCCCTTGGAGCTGTGAAAAAAATCAAACTTCAAAGCCTACGCACTCAAAAGATACAGCCGCTTATTTTTGAAACTCGCAAGGATATCAAAACCTTCAGGGTACTTACTTTCCGTGAACTGAGAATATTGAAATTTGGTCCGAAACGACATCTTGTAGTACAGATAAAGTAAAAATTACAAAAAGCATACATTTTTAGTTACAACATCATATAATAAAAATACTTTTTAAATTACCTACAGGTTTGTACGGAATCCTCGGTGCGCGAGTCCGACTCGCACTACGCCGGTTTTATTTATCAATCACTTGAAAAGCAAAAATAGATTCAATTTCAGCTGACAGAGAAATATATTAAAAAAAATATTAACATAATTTCGTTCGTTCGTATTTCCTATAATATCAAATAGGGGAAACTTCCTGTAAAAGTTAATCTCAATTACAGTGCACTCAATTACCTAGTGGCAAGTGGTTGATATAACTTGTTGGAGTGAATCAAAAATACTGAATTTATTTTGTCTCATAAAAAATAGTACTAAAAGATCGTTCGATAGTTAAGGCATGGTTCAAAATAGAACGGTAGGTCATCATGAAAGATTCATGATTTGTTCACATCAATATCTTATTCTATTCTTGTCACTATTATTTAACCACCATTATCCTGATCTAAGTCCATGAATTATTAATTGTAGACCCGCTCCCTTTCCCCGTATTCTCACTCACTCACACTACACTCACACTATAAAAAGGTTTTAATTTGTTTACCGCCCACCAAATTATTGTTACGACTTTATAACCTATCTGCTTAAAAATTCATTTAATTTTCCTTCATCATAATCACTCTTTATTTTTTATTGCAAAATACACTGGTGTCTTATTATTATAAGCTATCTTGATAAAGTTTTGCCGTTGTCTTTAGTTTGATAAAGATCTACATTTTCCAGAGATCTTAGTATAAGAAATATAGAAACGTAACATCATTCATCGAAATCATTTTTAAAATTAGTCTATGCTCATGTCAATCTGCACCCATTTTCTCTAAGCGGTGGCTCAATGCCAAGCCGGTGACTACAAAAATAAATGATATTGAAAAAATATGCAAATCCAATCGATTCCGGTGAATCTAAAAGAGTGGCCAAGTCATAATTTACGTGTATGCGCCGCGCCGGTGCGACAGGGAAGTAGGTCAGCGTGCGATCGCGACTGCCAAAACATGCCAGAATGGTGCACAGTGTAGAGTTTGAAATAGTATGCTTCTTCTTCTCAACGGCGTTGGCGGGTAGTTTTCCGCAAGTCCATTCCATGTATAACAGTGGAAGCATTAGTCTTGCCATTCTAGTTCCCTCGAGAAAATTTGTAGTCTCTTAATGACCTTGCAGGTGTCCAGCTTATCAGGGTTGCCCAGGTGTGTAGTCCGTTGTCTCGTCACTCCTCTGCAGTGTAGTAAAACGTGGGCACTCTTCTTCCTTCCCCTCCAGGCAGGCCCTGCACACTGGACTATTAGAGATACCTAAATTATATAGATGTTTGTTAAAGTATCGTCCGTGTCCTGTGAGAATATCCAGTATTGGTGCGTGCGGCGAAATGTGTTAATCATATAATGTAATTTCTTGGGCAGCTAAAGGGAGCGCTGGTACTATACATATAAAACTTTCGCGGCTATAAGAATATAGTAGATCACTATTTTCGTTAAAATGTAACAATTAACTGCACTCTAATGTGCCAAAGCGCAGATGTAATTTAGCGAATAGGCAATTTTTGAAGCAGGCACATACTACCAAGAGTGCAAACAGATCACCAGAAATGGTTTATGTGAACCCAAATAATATGACGAATATATAATTAAGAATATACATAAATATAGGTATTAAATTAATAAAGTTAAGACAAAGTTGCGTAACCAAGTATGCTTAAAACTTTTGTCAGTTCTATTTCGAATACAGAAGAGTATTATCGGGTAGGCTGACTCTTGCTTTGCCCAGCCTCAGTTGGTCCAGTGGTTAGAAAGCCCTCCGTCTGGCCGTCTAGTCAAAAGTCATGAAATTGTTAAACGTGACAGTATGATTTACTGTACAGTCAGCCTGTTCGCCTAATAAATGCCGAGTATAGCGATAGCTCATAAATGTCTCGCTCCATAAAATATACGCGAAAGCAATAAAGCTTTCGTAAGTAGTACCAAATGGTGCAACGGCGTGATAATATTAAACTAATAATCAAAGCGATGGATGATAGAGCCCCGTGTCTAATATGTCTTTATTTCGCAATCAGGCAATCAATTTATTTAGAGATGAAACTGACAAATATTGCTAGAATAAATCCCTGATTTGGTCGGAGCTTCCGAGTTTCAGAATGAACCCCGCGAACTTTCGCCATAGACACTAAAAATGAAGTATAGAAACTAGTATTCATTGTCCTAATAAATTAAACAAGACTATGAACCCCAAATTAAACACGATTAATAGTGCCTCTGCACTGGCAGAGGTGGCCAATTTATCGCTCTTATATTTTATGCTATTAATACACCTCTCATTTTATGCCTAATGTCTAATAGCTCTTGAGGATGCTTCGTGACGAAACAAGTGGTAGTTGAAAGTGGTTGGGAGAGTTGTTGACATTTGTGCATGTGACTTATGTATGACTATATGCAGACGATGTAAAGCAATTCTTGCAGATAGAGATTGAATGTAGAAGTTGCTAGATAACATAGTTCCATAGATTGACGTCATAAATTTCTTGTCTTAGTTCTGATTGTAATATACTGCAGTCTGACGTGCACTGTGTATTTACTAGGTTTAATTAATGCGGGTCACGATACGCTAACCGCTTACAAAATGTTATAACCTGGTCAACACTACGTAAATTCATGCATACTATGTAAATTTATATAAACACTGATGTTCAAATATTTTACGTAGAAATTCAGCATTTTAACCAAATATGCGGGTAGTATTATATTAGGTATATACCGGCATTCCACATGGTGTAGCAACAATAAACTCAAATAACTTGCATACGACAAAATTATACTACCAACACCTTGTTAATTAAGTGAATATTGATAAATAGCATTATTGCAGATTGATATTTTGTTTACATTAAAAATTCTGAAATACCTATCTTTATCTTCTCGTCGTCGGTAGACAGAAAGTACCGAGCGTCACAAGGAACGATCCTTACATATATCTTGGCCACCTCGACTCTCATTACTCTTAAAAAATTCACTAATCAGGGCATATTTAATGTTTCAATCATACAATTAACCTAGATAGCAGGAAGCCACCCCTTTTCCATGTCACATAAAAATTGTGGCGTTCCACTTTATTGGACGTTTGCCAGTACTTTGATGTTAACGACTAACATCAATGCTACCAACGTAATTAACCCTTCGTTTCCATTAGAGCTGTAAATCCAGAAAATTAGTTGTATAAAATAACAAGAGAAAAATTTAATCTGTGCCCTGTTATTTACTATGGTTTAGCATCTAAAAGGTCATAAAAAAACGATAAAAAAAGTCTTTATTCCATATATGAATATGACAATTGATAATTTAATTTCATTCTTATATTTATTAAGATTTTCGTATTTAAGAATAGAAATTAAAAGTCAGTCCTTCCACAAACCCATGTGACATTGATTAAAACAAAGAATAAAGGTATCTTATTATTTTCGTATTTTTCTTAGCAAACCTTTCATTAGCTGCTCATTATTCTTTTTTTTTAAACTAAAAAATAACAAGGCCGCCTTCTAGTACAGAAGGATCTCATTGTGATTTAAAATTTTAACTAGCTAGTCATACATTATCATCTACTAAATCTGTATGCTTTCAGCGTTTGAGGATAACTACTTTAAAATAATTGTAATGAGCCTTAATTATCTCTTGGTTGATTTCGTCTCGTTTTTACATTTGTCTTTGTCGGTGCCTTAACTCAAATACCTTCTTTATATTGAGACTATTAGTTAGTTGTCAAGCGTAACTAACAATGTCTCTAGATGTTTTGTCACACTGTCAATACTCTAACGAATTTGGACAGTGATTTGTATACTTATCTTCAATTCTACATTATAATTTGAGTAGGTATTTGTGTTCAGACTTATAGTTATTCCTAGTGTTTATAATTTAAATGTCACTTAAGAAGAATTGTACAATATTAATAATAATTATTATTATTTTCTCATAAATTACATTTGATTAGTATTATATTGTATTTATAATGCTGATATTAAAAAATATAAGCATTATAAGCTTATATTAATTTTTTGTTGCATACACCAACATTTAGTTAGGTCTAAATGTTGATAACAAGTGTTTACACACAACCCTTTTTATGTCTGAACTAGGTCGACCTGTGTGTCAGACAAGTAGAGCTAGCATAGTTTAATTATGTAATCACTACTTAAACAGCAAACATTATATAATATATTAAATATTATATTAAAAATAAAATAAACGAATTAATTATTTAAATTATAACAGGAATATAAAATACAGTGACACAATTAAAAACTTCTCTGTGTCCTTATACGACATCGTCTGCAAAGTTTCTTTAATATTTATCTCAATCAATTTCTTAAATTTAGTGAGTGAATGTGCGCTTTAGCGTTTGATCTATTGTATAATAACGGGCCTAAGAATGTTTAGAATTTTTTAAAAACGCATTTCATTTCATATTTTCTATATTAATTATAAGTAGGCGCGCGCCCTTTTCTTGTCACCTAATTACTTTATTTTACTCCAAAAATTATTACATTTTTGTATGAAAGAATTACACATTATAAAACCCTAATTTTCCTAAATGTTTTTTAATATGGGATATGATTCATTATAAAATAATGTGGACATTTTCATCGATGTAACTGTAATTGTCCTGCTTAAGAACACCATTATAAATACAAACAAACTCGTCTAAAACTGGGCTCGTATGGCTGGTGGTGCTTCTCATTTTGTAGTGGTGTTGCAGTTATATTTTTCCTTCTTTTATAATAAATTTGTACCTAAAAATGATGAAATCATTAAAGAACTCAAAAAATTACAGAGCGCATTTTACAGAAATCCTTATCTAAAATTTAAGCACAATATACAAAAAAAGCGCCCACTTCGAACTATGTCAGTAGTTATTCTGCACTATTAAATAAATCAAAATTATTAATATATTTTTGTTTCCGAGATCAAGAACACCAAAATTAACCGTTTACGCAAATATCACAGTCGAAATGTAATATATACCTCTTATGAATTTATATTATTTACAGGGGAGCGGCGTCGCGGAGCTTCGGGCCGCGCAGCTGCCCTACGGCGGGCTCCTTCAGACTCTGACTGTTCTGGTGAGACAGCATCGCTGTCGGCCGACAGTGGCGACCGCGTCGTGAGACCACCACCGCCTCCAACCCGCGCTGCCAAGTCACGCAGGTCAGAACAATTATATGTTCATGGCAATAATAAAAAATAATCAACATCACATACTTAAATTGCTCAAATTCCAAGGTAAGTAGTTTTAATGCTCGTGGAGTATGAAGTGAAATACAGCACTATAGAAAAGATCATTTTCAGTTAGATATACATTGATCCTTATTTTTAAATAGTAGGAAAGAATCTTGGAGGGCAATAGACATTTCACATTTAGATTGATCTCGTGTTACTTGTGTGTGATGTCAGAGGTCATATAAACTGGCGATTGTAATAAAAATTATGAACATGATAAAAATTAAAGATGTGTGTCATGTCGACTCTAGGTCTCGATAATTTTGCCGCGGAACTAAGCCGTAGGACTAGAATTTGTGGATTTTGATCTTTTTCTCTTTACAAATTCTAGCTTCCAAACTTGGTATAAGTTACCAAGTTCTTAAAACAAGTGAGAGTTTGTGACATTATTTCTTCTTTCGAGTCTCACACATAAATCCATATTCAAAGTATAGCGTAATAATAAAATGCTGGAGTTGGTTTAGAACACAGAACATAGAGAGAGAATAGAAGTAGTAAGTGGGCGGGGCACGCGTCGCTGGCATATGCGCTTTTACTCATATGATGCCCTTTCCTCGGTTTTATGTTTGTCAGTCGTTCGTCAATCGTCGAGTGGTGATTTTACAGATTTTTTCTATAAAAAATGCCATTTTGTGCTATTATCACTTACAAAAAGCAAAGCAAAGTATACAATCTAACTAATGCAAACATTTCCTTTCACTGGTAAGTACAATTTTAGTGCTAAAATATAAAAAACGTAATAATTTGACACAATGTTAAATAAAATATACATTGATTGCTCAAACCAACATCAATGTTTCTGACCCCATTACTAAACAGCAATGTAAATCATTTTGTGCACTTTTGCAAAAAATAGTGCTGTGCCTCCATTTGTCTGAAATGTACCGATAGGCTGCTGCTGCTCGGAATCGTATTGTTAATTATATGGATCGTAATCGATAAATAAAACATATTTATTTAGAGCTTTTCTTTCATCATTTCATAACAACGTTATCGATAAATATATGCCATAATTATATAAAACTAAAAAATACTGTTTACAAGGGAAAATTATAGATGAACTGATACTGAACAAATGAAATAATGAACTGTCCAGGCACTTTTTTTACGAAGATTCGGTTAATTATTTACACGCAGATAAATATTAAAAATTACTGATGTGCTATAAATATCTAAGTTACGAAGTATATCACCGTTTTATGAACAATACATAAATTAAACGAAACTTCGTGAAAAGCTAAGAGTTGGCCTAATAGGTCTTGTTAGAAACTGGTGAAACTGGATTTCACTTATTTTGCATTACTTATATTTCAGTTTCCCTAATAACTTTACAACGGATTGCCTTGTTTACATAATTAATTTTGCCCTATCTGTTTTAGACCTAAACCTATCAAATGAATTTCAAAACAACATAATATCTATACAAACAAAAAATTATGTTTTCAACTAACGTAATATTGTTGGTGGTGTGAATTTAATTTACAAATTAATTTTTAGGCGTCAATTTAATTTACCTTATTATGCTGATTCATAATCGGAAACTATTATTATAGAAATCGAGTTAAGAAAGCCACTTTAAAGAACCGCCTACAGAACAGCTTTTATTAGTTTTTTTGTTGCTCCATATTTGCACATAAGTTTATAGACGCATGTCTCAAACGGATGTGACTTTATATGTAGATTGACGTTTGTACGTACTTATCGCTTTTGTGTCTATCTTCAAACTTTTTTTGTCACGGCTTTCAAACTCATACTTGACCAGCAATTCCTTATTGTCCAGTCGTTGCAATTAATAATGTAGCTACTACTATTATTACAGATATAAAACTTAGAATAATAAAATAAAACAAACATAGCTATGATCAATTTATTAGTGTAATGATCATATTAGTTATTATGAAATGAAATGAAAATATTTTTATTCAAGAAGGCTATTACAAGCACTTGGAATGGCAAGTTTATATTTATTTCTACTTTTTTTTGTGAAGGAATCGTAATGTTTTCTTGCGTACATAATATTTTCATTGATGTATTGAGAGGCAACAGTCAAAATATTTATTTCTTTAAATATTTCTCTGAGAGATTCTCTAGACCGTAAATTATATATAGCGTGGACAGCTCTCTTTTGTAGAATAAAAATATCTTGAATGCTAGCCGCAGAACCCCATAACAATAGATTATACGTCATTCATTACACTATGAAAATAACTAAAATATATCCAATACCAATCTTGCCGTTTCAACATTTGTTAAGAGTCTAATTTTCTTAACAGCAAATGCTGCAGAACTCAGTCTACTTGACAAATTATCAATATACCAAAATACCAAGGAACTTTGTCGATTCCACCATCTCAACTTTTTCACTATTTACATTTATAAGTATATTAACATGCCTCATATTAGGTAATGCAAACTTTATGTATTTCGTTTTATTTGAATAAAGCTTTAAATAATTACTATCAAACCACTGTAGAAAATTGTCGAACTGAATTACATTGAACTGTTTCATAACAAAATTTAAAGCTCTTATTTTATCAACTAATATGTCACATCACTAATATGCACAATCGGAATGATACCGGTAAGAAAAAAATACAAATTAGGCTTAATGTAATTAATACAAAAATTCTGTTGTTTTCTTAATTTTTGTTTTTTTTTTACACTTTCCCTCGCTTAATTATATTACTCCACAGACATACGATAGAGTGTATCATTAAGTTTTCTTAGTTTTTGTACTGCGTTTTTTAAAAGATATTTTAATAAATTATGTAGGTAAAAGCCTTCATTTTTCAGTATTCACTTGGTTACAGCATAATCTAATATTAATAGTTCGCACATAAAATGATGACCCCAATTTTTTTAAATGTGCATAAACTTAAAATATTTTTTTCCTTCTGGTATCCCCATATACAGCCACGTGACAGTTCAACATTCATGTTAAAGTAAATTATTTATTATCACGTTGAATTAGAGTTTGTTTTTAATCGTGTGATTTCTTAGCTTAGTATCTTTTTGGGATTTGATTTATGTTATCGCGAACCTATCGCGTGGCGGTTTTTCATGTAGTGAACAAAATGATCATTTCATCTAATCTGTATTTGTGTGCGGAGAGGCGACAATCGGTTCCCATACTAAATTAATATCATTATACTTCTAATCTCTCTCTATGTTCTGTGGTTTAGAACGATACTGATGAAGACAAATTTTTGTTTGTTTGTCTGTCAGGTAGATTATTGAAGAATATTAAATACGTCATCATCAGCCCACATTCGTCCACTGCTGGACATAGGCCTCCCCAATTGCACGCCATCTATTTCGATTTTCGGCTGTTCGCATCCAGCTCCTGCCAGCCATCTTGCGCAAATCATCGCTCCACCGCGCCTGAGGACGTCCTACACTACGTTTGCCGAGACGCGGTCTCCACTCAAGAACTCGTTTACCCCAACGGTTATCGGTTCTGCGGCTAATATGGCCAGCCCACTGCCACTTCAGCTTGCTAATCCGGTGGGCTATGTCGATAACCTTGGTTCTCTGTCGGATCACCTCATTTTTGATTCGATCCCGCAGAGAAACGCCGAGCATAGCCCTTTCCATAGCGCGCTGAGCGACCTTCAACTTGTGGACCAGCCGTGCCGTCAGTGTCCACGTTTCGGCTCCGTATGATTAAATACGTTACATTAAATACGTATTTTTTATTATTTTCAATATATGTATTTAATATTCTTCTATATCTATATTCTTATTACTACATAGTATAAAACAGTGTCGCTTTCTCTGACCCTATATATGCCTATGTATGCTTAAATCTTTAAAACTACGCAACGGATTTTGATGCGGTTTTTTTTTCATAGATAGCGTGATTCAAAAGGAAGCAAAAAAAATACGTATCTAATATTTTTCTATCATCGGAATGACGGACTAAATACAATTAATTTTTTTATATACCCAGTCGTCATCCTTATTGTCCATGTGAATATTCTTTCGATCTTTGAACAGCCGGCGACGTGGTAGTGAATGGGAGGTGCTAGAAGGACTGAAAGATGGCCAGCGGTTCGAGAAACGCCCCGATGTCTTCAACGGGTACCTACATAAGAAGCGCAAATGGCCTCTGAAGGGATGGCATAAGGTAATTGAAAAGCCAAAATTTATTTGATGGTTATATAGGGTGTTATACTATTTTATGGAGTGAATGAGTTAACGGACCTGACTTTGTCAGTATACTTAACTCATCTATCTTACGAAGTCCTGGCTTATAATAATATTACACCTTATGTATAAAACGATACAAATAAGAAAACAAGCATAAAAAGTACTATGATACTTAGGCCGCTCTCTGAATTGAGAAAAGTACAAAATCTCAAGTGATTATTCTCGATAAATTAAGTTTTTTTTTACTTTTCATAGGGCAAAAAGTTTTCCTAGTTTTTATTATCCGCTGCTGCTATCAACTATCAATAAAAAAAACTAAAATTAGAAATGGAAACCCGTTTAAGTACAGCTTGAGACGTGCTTAACTTTAAATACTCAATTCAGCAACCGAGTGTTAGAAGCGGAAAAAATATATCCACTTTCCTATTGATGCATACATTTTCACGTAACTTATTTTTTCTCTCGGAATGACAAAGAAATGAAATAGATTTATTTTTCTATATCAACAACGTAATTTCTTACCATATGTTGTGTTGGTCTAGCCCAGGGATTCCCATACTATTTTGGGCAAATAGTCTAGACTCTTTGCCAAATAAATTTGAAGTTCTCTCTATAGTTGTTTTTTGATTATTACGAAATATTTTTCACGAAAAGTTTGCTTTTGTTGAGTAAGTGATTTTGTCATCATTTTTTCATTAATATTTAACCAATAAATAGACCTAGACTATGTTTCAAATAAGAACTTATGTTAATTGATAGGGGTCGATATTAAAATCTCCTCGACCCCAATAATTAAGTTTTCATAAATTTACCTGTGAAATACTGATTTCAACCCAAACGGATCATTGCTATAAAAGAACCTAGAATGTCTACGTCAGTTACCCGCTAATCACCCAATGGATTGACTCCTTTCATTATTTAAGACACGAAGTGGACATAAATTAATATCATCATCATAAGTCTATTAATATCCCGACTGCAATTGGTCGCCCATCCTATGACTGTCCATTGCGAATGTTGCTTTACCTCCGCTTCGAACGCGTTAACCATTGCGCCATCGAGCTCCTCTAAAATAACCCTATAAATATCCATGGGACATGACTCCAATTACAAATTCTGCTGTTCATCCGCACTACATAATTAGTTAAGTTTGACGCTAACGACCGTTTTGCGTACAAAATGAAGTTCAAGTTCACTAAATATTTTCAACATCAGCTGCTAAATGGGATTTAAGATAGTGCCGCCCATGATAGTCCATTGTATCCACTTGAAATTCCAAGTGGTGAAAACTAGATAACATTTGACTATGCCCTATTGGTTAATTAAACTGCAGGACTACAATACGACTTAATACTTCAACTTTTTTTAAACGACAAAATTTATTCACAGAGTAGTTTACAACGAGTAAAGTAATAGGGAGTTTTATATTTTTTTTAATCTAGAGAGTAATTTTATCCAATAATACATCATTGCTGCATATTTGGATCTAACAAAAGGTATCATTCATTTCCAAAAGATAAAATGTTCTAGAGAGTTTGTTTATAACATGTGCTAGTGCTGCCATCTACGCTGAGCTTTGCATAGTATTTCTTATTGAAACATTTTCTAGTCTGTTTTTTCCACTCAGGCTTTCATATACAGACCTTCTCCGGGGCTATTGTTCTTTATGTATTATAGTTTTATGTGGTGTAATTTTTTCACAATTGTAGTTTTTTGAGACTAATGTCGAATTAAATTGAGTTGAATCATTAAAAAAAATTAATAAGCATGATAGCTACTGCAAAGTTGCTTTTGTAATAACATTCTTCAATTCACCAAACACCATTTAATTTAATAAAGTTAAGTGTCCATTTTCTCTTAAATCAGTCTGTTAATGTTATCTTATTGAAGTTCTGTAAATGTTATCTATTGATGGCTAAAAAGTCTGAACTGAAATTTATAATCTACAGCCAAATAAATTATTATTATGAATGCTGTAAATAAAAGTAACGATTGAAATATGAAATCCGCAATCTTAAATGAGACGGTAATAATTTTGCGCATCTCGCCGTCTTTGCCATAGATCTCTTCTGAGTTTTTTATCTATGACATTTTTTTTCTTGTAGCGCTTCTTCGTTGTGGACGGTGGTATATTAGTATACGCACGTTCACCGACAGACGTGGCGCGCGGACGTTTGCACGGTTCAGTGGACGTCGGTCTGTCTGTGATATCGGCTAAAGCTCGCCGGCGTCGCATCGATATAGACGCCGACGAGTTCATATACCACCTGCGAGCTAAGACAGCTGACGTGTTCAGAACATGGCTCAACGTACTGAAGGCGCATAGGTCAGTTCTAGAAGAAGACTAGGCACTAATTCTGCTAATTTAGCGCACACTAACATCTACAACGCATACAGACGTTCAAACACACACACACAAACACACACATACACACACATACACACACACACACTCAGTAAAAGTTTTGGAGGAATCAAAATTCAGATTGACCCTAGTTTAAGATATACAATGTAAATTCGCCTAAAATAGTTACCGACTGTCACTTTCAATTATTATAATAATTATTAAATACTCTTATATACGTTTACAAAAATGTCGGATGAACTATGTTTTATATAATTGTTAATTCAACGAAATTAAGCAATAATATCTTGCTAATCTTTTGACTATGATTTATACAAAATAAAGTTGTCTACACTAACTAATGCAGCGAACTATATTCCAGACTCTACAGGCAACACTTACTTACATTTGGTGCTCGGGAATCTGTGCCTAAAATCCATGCGCCACTCGACGATTTACCACCGACGGATACATCATCACGTGAGTTATAACGCGTTTCTTGTTTCAAAGAGTTTATGAAGTATGCACAAGTTTTTAAAACTAGTTTAAAGTTAGTGAATGAGAAGGGAGAGTCAAAAGTAGAGAAATTATACTCGCTATTCTTCGCTCTGAGACTTAAATAAGTTTGCATGCACTTATATATTAATGTTTGTGAGATTATTTAGATTTGAATAAATGTAGATTTTGAGCATGTTTGAGATTTTCATGAGTGCCGATTGCTTGATAATTTTCGAATTTAAATTCTTTATATATTCTGTGAATATTTTATTAATTTCATGTTCAAAGTATTTGAATAACTATTTTATCATCACTCAATTATTTTTAATTAAATATCTAATTTTTTCCATTAGGGACATCTCAAATGAGCACAGAGACAGGCTTCGTCTTCAACGAAGATTTTCACCACTCCACCTCTACCTGTTCCTACCCAAAACCAAAAAATTTTCAACCTTACAACATTAATGATACAGTCAAAAGCCCTTTCTTCAATTGGCAAATGCTAAATAGACAGAAAAAAATAATATTTTTCAATGTTCAAAAGATAAATAACGCCATTCGGCCTTTGAATATTGCTCTCGATAAAAAGAATAGAAGTTTATGCTCTATGAATTGCATAGCGAGATACCAGAGAGATCAATTGCATATAAAAAAATCCACAGATACATCCCAAGTCAGCACTAATACCGAACAGCAAGTTCATATAACAGATTTAGAATCGAATTCTACCCGTTTACAGTCAAATAAAAGCGTTACACAAAATAAAAACTATAAATTAAAATCTTCAACATCGTTAGATAAACAACCAAAAACTTCTTGTTACTTCTTCACGCAAAAGAAAAATCAATCCGTCTCACAAACAGATTCAATTATGAAAAACAGTAAGAAATCAACCAACCTTGTAAAGTACAGGAACATTTATGCTGAACCGGCTTTAGCAAAACCTATTAGCAAATGTTTACTGTTAAAGAATTATAAGTTTTCTAAACATGAAACTAAAACTGGTTCGGTCAAAGCCACCGGTTGCGATCCCATTCAAAAGAAACACAACGAAATACAAGCTAATGTGCATTGCAGTAAAGCACATAAATCATTACAAAGCTTTGTGTCTGCATCAGAATATGATAAAATAACGGAAAAAATTATGGTGTCAATATTCGAGAAACATAAGATACTTTATAATGACAAAGATAAAGAAATCAAATGTTATATCAACCAAATGGTCAAAGAGTTGTTTGAAATGAAATTCAGTAAAACTGAAATACATCCAGTAAAAATATTGTTTAGATCTCTATTAGAATATTGGTTGACGAATACTAATGAGCAACCATTTTACCAAGCTGTGAGGCGCGCTAGATCTGTTGGCAAACCTTCAAATAATTATTTCACCAAAGATAAAATGTTGTCCAGTTACGTTATTAATAATGCCACCAAGCAAACCCAGTTTCACGGTATTAGTGATTACGCAAATTCATTTGAACTTAGCAATACTATAGTAACAAAGCGTTTGAAACCTTTAGGTATAAATGATAAAAAAGTAATACGTTGTCACAGTCCTAAACGTGATACCGAAAGTTTCGAGAAAGAGAGGCGTATTCAAGAACTTGAAAAGATACTGAAAAACACTGTTTATATGTGTGAAACCGTACGCAGTGATCAAAGCAAAGAAAAAGATATATTTATTACAAAAAAATTAATACATAATCTGGAAAAAATATCAAATCGAACTATTGTGTTGGACAAAACGAATGATCGTGTGGAGACCTCAAATTCTTCCACTGAACTTCCTAAAATTCAAGAAACTATAAACCATCTGATTAGTGAGACAGCCATGCCAGCTGATGTAGCTAAAGGATTTTTAAATGCTTATTTGGGTATTCTGATTGATAGCAGTAAAAGCGTAACTAGTAGTTCTCAATCAAGTGAACAATTCAATAAAAATTATGAACCCACATGTGAAGTCGGAGCCGAGTCTGTTCAAAAAAGAATATCTAAATGCGTTATAACAGCGAATTTAGAAAACAAGTTTAACAACTTTACAAATGGAGATGTAATATCGAAACAAAAAACTGTTAAAGATCCCGGAGAGCTATACTTGAAAGAAGTACTCGATAAAATCACAACTATTTTCACTAAAGTTGGTAAAAATAAAAAAGAAGACATTGAAAATAATGACAAATCAAAGGGAGATAAAGTCAATAAACTCAGTGATGTATTAAGTAAACATATTAACGAATTCACTGGAAAAAACCTTATACACGAAAATATAAAAGACAATTCTCTAGACATTGATCTATCTAAGTATGATTTGGAACATATTTCTATGTCAAATGAACAGAAACTTAAAGGTATAATGTCAATCACAATCAAACTTAAAGAAAAGCCATCGCATTTTGGCGAATCGAAAAAACAACAATTGAGTCTAAAGTTTTGTAACGACAGTCGCAAATTAGAACCGTCTATATCAGATGAAGAATGGCTGAAAAATGTAGGTAACGCTTCATTGAAAAAAGTATGTGATCCTGTTGAAATGAATTTAAAAGCCAGTTATGATATAGAAACAATTGCTGACACCATTGAACTAAAACCGTACACTAGTTCTAGCGACGCAACTTCAAAAGCTTATTACCGAGTAATACACGAAAGTGACCACTCCATCGACTTGTCTTTCAAAAGTAGTAATTTCTTCAGAAAAGAGGTTTCCGATGATAATGAAGATTCGCAATCATGCTACATAGTTTCTTCATTTAAGAAAAACTCATTAACAACCAAATTACAATCGAAAAAGAAAGTACGTATGAAATCTAGCAATGAACTGAGTATAGGCTCTCGTACACTCAATCAATCTAACAAGAATAAATATCCTAATGAATATTGTGTTTTTGAACAGCGAACACCGAAAATTATCGATGAGAAGTTCATATTGTTGCTATTAGAAAATCTCACTTTGCTTTCAAAGAACATACCTAGTCTTTATAAAGATTTGAACACATTGTATTTGAAATTAAAAAAGAAACACGATAAAATAGTTAGAAACTGTAACAATATACACGGCTTGAGTCTTTTAGGTAGAATTTATAATGATGACGATAAACCAAATAATCAAGAGACCCAATATGAAGAAGCTGAATGTAAGCTAAGTTCAAATATTCAACTTGTTGGCAATTATAAAGATACCGCTATGAATACTACGCCCTTTCTCAAGGAGCCGGTGATTTGTGATAAATGTATCAATACATGCAATGTAAACTGTGATACTGCAGTCCAAACAGATTATAAGACAACAGAATTTAAAATTCTCGAATTAAACAATTTCATACATCCACTCAAAGTATCTAGTTCACAAAAGACATTTGGCAGCATAGATTGTACTTACTTAAATCGGGCGTTGTCATTGGCAAAGATTGAAAACGAATATGAGAGTAAGGAGCAAGGAACTTCCGTACAAAATTGGCCAAAACGTTCGCCCACTAAAGAATGCGCTATAAGTACCGTAATACGAACTGTTCTCGACGATGCCGACGATACAAAAACTTTTAGGGTATCTGTTCCTAAAAAAATTGAGAACATCCACGTTTTGAAAGTCAATAAGGATTTTTTACATAACAAAAACTTTCGCAAACAGATTAATCCTTCACTGAAAACTAGCATAGAATCACAAACAGAGAAACACATTAAAATTGAGAAACATGGTAAATTAAATTGTCATTATGTGAATAATTATAATGTGTATCAGTTGGTCTTGAGTCAAATGAATATGCGAAAGTCTACTTCTATAATGAATTCGTTAGCAGCCATGTCCAGTATGAGTGATGATTTAAAAACCATTTACCGATGTTCCAGTGAACCCTCCTATGCCTCTGGTTAGATTATCTTATTATTTAAATCGATTCTTAGAGTATAGTAACTGTATCTGTAAATGTTTTTGATAATAATGCTCATAGAATAAGGTACAGATAAAAAGTTGGTGTTTTAAAATGCCTCCAAAGTCGTAGGTTCATAAAATACAATGTGATATCTTCTAAATTTTTCTATTTATTCATATCTTAATGTTGCCAGTTGTAGTGTTTCTAGCTCTAGAATTTATTTAATTCCGTATTTAATTTTATATGATTTTTTTAATTTAATTGGTATTTTAAATTATAGTGCTACCAAATTAGTTTGTAGTATAAGTAGTGTATATAGATGATGATTTTAATGGATGCGAGAGCTAGATTAGTTGGTATATAATAGTTACATTAGTTTTCCCACTCCTTTCTTCATACTTACTTTCAAAATCCTCCTTGTCTCAATCTATTCTTTGTCACAATGCAAATACGGACGAATTTAAGATGAATCGTTACGGTTTGGTTCATTTTCGCAATTATTAAATAGCGCCACTATTCTACCTCGATGTTTTTTAGTTATTGCTTATAAATTATAATAAAAACATTGTTGTCCATTTTTATTTCATTTATACTAGCGTTCAAAACGAATGATACTGTCACGTTCCATAGAAATGGAAATATTCGATATGTATTGTATCATTATATATATCGTCCCTTGCATTGTAATGTAAAAAGTTTATATTCCTGTAGCACAACTTATACAACTTTCTACATTTACGCATTACCCTTAAGAGGATGACAGATGCACAAAGTTTTCTCTTCACAATATTCTTATAAATAAAAATATGTATATTCTTTTTAACAGTACGTTAAATAATAATGGACATCGGATAACATCGTAAAAAATCATCTGACAACACTAAGAAAATTAACAAAAAGTATTGTAGTTTGACCTTAAAATCGTTTATAATTTCAACTTTATTGCAATTATATAAATGCCAACGACATTTTTAAGAAAAGCAAACTTGTAATCCGTGCAAGAGGCGCACCAGCATCAATAATTTGTCAGTTGTCGGTATTGTTTAAAACTGGAAAGTCGTACAATACCGTTTTTTAGAACTATACTCAGCTAATGTAACCCTGCATCTTACTTTGCCTAGGTGTATGTCGATCATTTTCGGAAACATGAAGTTAGCTTATGTCCATTGTTTATTTCTAAGTAGTTCTTATTTCGTTTACTTTAAAGTCTTATTCATCTGTCATCCACTTGAAAGCTCTATTAGGTAAGGTAAGTGGTCCATCCCCAAGTGTGTGTTTGGTTGTAGGGCTGGTTAGCCCGACGTCCCTGGCGCAACGCGGTCCGCAAGCTGGCTTCGTGTCGGGCACGCCCGGTGGACGGTTCGCTGGCTGGATTATAGGTGAGATTGCGCCAGTGGACTTACCATGCTCTCTCATATCAAAACATGGTATAACGTAATTATATCTAAATGCTTCATCGCTGTTTAACACGTTCATTTCCAAGCCAAAATCTTGGCCTTACATAAATAGCCAACAACTAGCGAACCCGAGCGAAACTAAAACAATATGTGTACCTGCAGGCCAAGCCCATCTAGCAAAAATTAATTACCTACTTATGTGGCCAAAACAAATACTAAAAACGAATACCAAACGTGTATATACGTGATACGCGTAATAGGCCGCTTTGCGCGACACCATGTGGTACGGCAATGAACGTGTTAATAAATCGTATTACTGCAACTTTCTGACGTCAGATTGGATTGCATTAGCACATGTAATAAACGGTATTTTTTATAAACGTCGTTCACAGAGTAGTGAAACAATATTAAAGTAACAGAGTTAGAATCATAATTGGAAAAAGTGCAGTTTAATCCAATAATACATTATTTCTGCATATTTGGATGACAAAATATTCGAAAAATATCGTTTGTTTGCTACATGTGATAGTGCTGCCACCTATGCCGAGTTTTGTCGCTAATACATATTTTTGAAAATACTTTTTTGACATTATAAATCTTATTATTTTATATCTCTGCCATTTCCACATAAAACGGAATTTTGTTAAAACAAAAGGAAAATAAATCTATAGCGCCATCTAATGACGGCCAAAAATTATTATATAACAATAACATCAAATCAGTTGGAACTGACAAATATATAAAAGACATTTCAACCTTGCACGCTCGACGGATAATCCGATTCTTAGTGGTTGGAGGAGTTAACGGCCTAGAACTGCCTTATCTGCTGATCTTGGATTTGCTCGTTGAGAACTGCTGAAAGTCTGAAGTCATATCCTCGTTCTCAAAGCAATGAATATGTTCTTAAATTAGCTATATCCATTAGCTTCTCTGTGAAATTAAACAAATTATGTGGCCTTTTTGCGATGTAAATGATTGGAGATTTTTTTTTGTGTTATCTAAAGTAGTTTTGTGAATTTAATTTTGCCACATAGCATGTGCATGCATTTTTGTGCAATTCAAAATTTATATTACATGTGACATTATTGAAATATCATCGACAAGTTGGATTTTATATTGTCTTAGTATGGCCTACCCAAGAAAAATGCGAGGCATATATAAGAAGATGCATATACAGATGTAAATGTGTTCACAGATATATGTGTGTGCGTATTTTGTTATAAAAACAGCCTAGAAATCGACGATTAGCGCAATACTGTCACTGCGTAAGGTTCAAAGTTAAATGTTATATAATTAAATTAAATAATTTATTTAATTGAAGTTCTATGTCCTGACAATTCTGAACTGAGTTTAAGGCTGTTTTTAACAGAATAGCATACCTGTTGGCTAATCAGCAAGGACTAACAGGGGTCTAGAAAGTATCTGGAAGGTAGGAAGGTAAGGTATCTGACAAGATTTCGTGACGAAAATGTACAAGAGTTTTTAACAACCGATACCTCAGCATACCAAAGTACTAAATTTACAGTAAGACCTGCGTAAAATGCTTTAATTTCGAAGCGCGGCAAATATCGTCCAATCAGACTGATTCAAGATCTGTGCCATCAGGTGATCAAGCAATATCCACAATCCATGACCCCTGCAGAGTGTGAAAGGAACACCTAATGCATTAAATTGACAGGTTAACAAGACCCAATATAAATAAATAACTCATTCGGTTATTGTTTAAATTGGTATGTGTAGTCTGCGCAAACACATTAGTTGGAACTTACTGTACCGTCACAGCTAGTATACAAGTGATCTGTTAATTTGGATAACAATCGATTCATAATGTATGTTATGTTACACACTGTGGTGTACATCAATTCTTATATGCAAATCCGCACGATAGTAAAAGTAAAGGAGTAATGACTGCAGTTTACTACTTGACTATTTTGGGAACAGTCTTTAAAAGCTCAAAAGTCGTCAAAGCGTTATTAAATGGAGGACACATTTTTATTTATTAATTAAAATTGTCCCGCGACAACAGGCAGACACATGACATTTCTAGCCGTGACGTCAAATTTCAATAAACATGACTTCTGATAGCACTCGCAACAAAGACGTTGACGTTTAGTTTATTGAAATGTGACGTCATACAACCTTCTGTCATGGGACGTTTAAGTTCTTGTATCAATCACAACTTAATTATGCAAAAAGTATACTTATAATTTATTTAAAACAAAAATACTGTTAACATTAGTTATTGTTTACATATGAGTTACCTTTTCCAACCTATTGCATAATTTATTAGTATAACTGTCAAGTAGCCGGTTCTATTGCAATACAATTTAAAGAACTATCTCTGGTATGCGATCATAGCATAATTGTAATATTTTAATGTTCAAGATAAGTGTTTAAAGTTATATAATTTTACAGAAGCCGGTGGCCCACTAGAAAATGCGTCCCGAGAACTTGGACAAGCGCAACTATCGGTGCAGCAGCTGCAGCGCCTATTGGAAGCGCTGGAGCTGCAACATCAGGTGCACCACGACACTGACGTGAGTACAAGATCAGTTGTAATAAATGGCAAGGTCACTGAACAGAGAGAATTTAGTACAATGACCCCGGCATTAGATATCTCTTTCACTCGTGCGCAAACATATTACTATTGCTAGAGGCATCTAGCCAATTTTGTCATATTAAAGTGAATCTAAGATTATAACGATATCTGTCAGTAGGCATAAATGCTATAGCTGTGTTTACTATAGTAGAAATTTCACTACTTGAATAGAAAAAAAATAGGATGATGATTTTTAGTTTTTATGAGCGTTCAAAATAATGTACTTGAGTAAGAATAAGTTACTGTCCTTGTTTCTCTCGTGCTATATTTCCGGCTTAAGAGTTCGACAGCAAATTGTGGCAATTGCATCATTCGTGGCAAGCAGAGCTCACTAATGATATTGTAAAGTAATTTCAGTACATAAATAAAAAAAAATACATTAAATATTTTCTTGAGTGAAAAATTTATATTTTATATTAAAGGTATATATCATTGTATTACAGATACAATTAAAAACGAAGGTTGAAGTTGATGTTTTATAAATTTTAAGGTAAAGGATGTTAATTTTTCGCTAAATACAGTTGTTATCAACTTGTATATTAATATTCAGTATAAATTTATAATATTAATTCAACACCGAATAAGTATTAAATAATATAAATTATTGTAACAATAATTATATATAAGTAAAATATATTTTATATAAATAATTTCTTTATTATAGGAATATTTGTACAACATTATTGTATTACATATTGTATGTATAAGTATACAGACTCGATGTAATCGATTTGTGCAGTAGAAAGAAACACATTCATTGACTCACAATCAGTGGCGTAGCTACCAAGGGGCTAGGCGGGGCAGTGCCCCGGGGCCCTCAAGCTCAGGGGGCCCTCGAATCTTTACCAGAATCTCGATCGAACTCTACTTTTGAAAATTTCTCCCATTTTCAAAATAAATATGACAGGTGACAACTCTAGTTTAATCATGGCAACTCAAGTTGTTCAAAAAAAAATCCAAAGTTATAAAAAGGGAATTCCCCTAAATTATTTGTGTGGGTTGACAGTGTTATTAATGTTTTCATCAATTTGTCGGATATAAATATCTGCATATTATTATTTATCGATATGCATTTTTGTGATTCGCGATTGTGAACTTCGGGTCAAAACTTTTTTTCGAGAATGGTTAAAAAGTTAATGTATCAGGAGTAAGTAAGCGTATGTCAATATTACTACTACTCACTATATAACTCAAAATACTCAAAAATCTACTCATTATATAACTCAAAATACCGTGAAAAATACAAGTCACATGGGGTTAAATAACAGTAAGCTGGTGCAACGTATCTATGAATAAATAAATATATAATAAACCCTTGAATCTTTTCTATTTCGTTTTTTGCCCAATACCTACACCAAGTAAAAAAATAATTGTAATTTACGTTGTTAGTGTTTAATAGTTTTATGACCTGGGCCGATAAAGTAGCTTAGCATTTTTAAAGTATTTGTATATTTAATGATTTTACTACAAAAAACCTTACCAGTTTTGATAGCAGTGGGCCCCTTTTTTTATTTGCCCCAGGGCCCTAGATTACCTAGCTACGCCACTGCTCACAATATATCTACTACTTAGTTGAATTACATGCCACCTAGTTAGAATGGTCTAAGTAAAATACAGCATGCAAAAAAGTTATTGTTACTTTAAAGTTAAATGACCATCAACACTGAGATTTTAAATCGATTGGAGAAAACTGATTATCAACCATTCAGAACGACTTATAATTAATTAGACATATTTGAGTTACTTAAATAAATTTGGCAGTTGAATTCAAGCCTACAGAGCATAAACCAAAGTCGTAATTTTGTTTGTCTCTTACAGGTATCTTTAGAAGGCGCCTCGCCTAATGTAAAGAAAGATCGTCGCAAATTCGGCCTTCGCAAAAAGAAATCCAACAGCAAATGTGCCTCTGTGGAGCTCGCACCTCCACATATAGACCCCTCCAGTTCACACATGGTAACTTTAATAGAAACCTTAACAAACAGGAAAGTACTCAGGCCCGGATCTACGATTTCGTTTAGCCGGGGCAAAAACTTTTTATGAGGCCCTTCCTCTATCCCCCACGCTCAGTGAAGCCGGGTTTTGAACCATCTCCGTCCTATTGTAGCCTATAAGGTCGTCGATCTTTTTTAACTGTAATAAGGTTTCATATAGCAATGATTTTGGCAACCCCATAACCCCTCCTAGATCCGGGCCTGAAAGTACTCGACCACTTTGAAATCATTTAATCGTTCATCTTTTTACGTTCACTTACATCCATTATCTATTTCCTAGACAACGTTCCTATCAAACGAAAGAGTTTTTATCAAACATTTGTATTTTAAATAGTGCCATCTAGTATCAAATGAACTACACTATGCATGCTTTTTCTATATTTTTTTAAATTAATTTATTAGTTGAATTTCTATTATTTTTATTCTGTTTTTAAAACAGGCGTTATCTGCCCTCACTGCACCTCCGTCACCAGGCGGCGGTGCATCTTCTGCACCTAATTCTGCCGCTTCATTGCCAATCGGTAAGCTACTATAATTCTTTACTAAAGTGTTCAATTTTCATTAAAACTTTCTATAGTTATGATGTAAGCTTGCTTTTCTGCTCGTATCATTTTGATCTGTGTGAACAATTTATGGCTATTTGTAACACATTCATTCAATATCTTTTGATTTTGGATTGATTTAAATATGAAAGTATATTATTAAAAATATGTTTCTTTCTAGTTAACATGAATATAATCCTGATACCAAAGTGTGAAGGCTGAAAAATACTTTGAGAAACCCTAAAATGTACATAATTAATTAGTGCAACAAAAATCGTGTATATTATTTATATTTGTGTGAAAATGTATTTATTTTTTGATGACGTGAATATAAATAAAGTCTTTTGAAAATATGTCTTGTCAAGGATTCTACGAAATTGGTGAGTTGTGAATGCGCTAATCATGGCATGGCGGGATCACAGACAAGAAAATGTCGTCCAAATGAATCTTCAATTTAATGGCATGTCTGTTCTGCTACGTGTAGCTAAGCTCGATGAAGTCACCGCCATGCTTCTTGACGTATAGTGTGTTTATCTTCATCACTAATAGATGGCGCTACGTAGCGCTCTAACCAACAGAAAATGTATTTCTTACATTCCAGTGTAATTGCACATTTTTCAATATGAAAATTTATAATCTAATATATATTTTCTCGTTTTACCTTCCAGCATTTCTTTCAACATTTCTGGCGACCACTTTAGTTCGTAAGGCTGTTTTTTATTTGTTTTTTTTTTCTTACCCTCTCCTATTTCATTCGAACGCCATTTGTATGTAACAGCATCGCAAGGCAGAAGCTTCGGTAGTTTAAGAAATGGAGAGACTAGACGTTGATTAGATTAAACAGATAAAACGGAAAAAAATCTTAAACATTTTGTTACAATCGTTCTCTTTAAATTACCACTTTTATTATAAGAACTTTAATTTATTAACATCTACAAATCACGTAAATCACAAAGAGGGTTAGTATAGGAATGTTTGCAACGAAGTGATTGTATCATCATATAATAATATGAACATATTGTTGATCAAAAAATAAGTAAATCAGAAAATTTTAACATAAGCGCCATCTATTGCCAGTCAAAATAATTGAAACAGTGACGTTCGATCCTAAAGGATGATTTTTTTTTTGCCACCGGTTTTAAAATATAATCACGGCACGTCTGGACTCTCCTACATTCTTATTGGCTGACCTACAAAAAGTGGTCATGCCGTCAAATGGAAGCTTGGACAAAGTGGACCTCATGGTTATTGTACATTTTGTCACTGCTATGCAATATTCACCTTGCCGTTATAGGAATAAAGAACAAAATGCTTTTTGACAAATGTTTGGTAGGGCAAATGCTAAGCTATATACGCTATCTGGCTCAAATAGTTAAAACACAGACAGTATATTTATTTATGGGCAGTTTTCTTTTTAAAAAGTAGCAAAATAATATGACCATATTTAATACTCGCGGTTCTTCAATTGACAAAGTTGTCCTATGTCCTCTATGTACGAACACTAAACTAAAATACAGGTAAAGATACCATAAACAGTTTGGAACCATTCCGTTCCTCTATAATCGCCTTGTTGTTTAGAAAAACACATAAAACTGATCAATCATAGCGGAAGATCTTTTCAATACAAGGTCTCTCGCCGTAGATTTGTGAAGTCCGATGGCATAGTAATAGCCTAGACTGAATCTTTAATAAATAACATTGAACTTGAATTAGATAACATCTATCAGTTAGTGAAAATAGTGAAATTATGCACCGATCTGTCCAGGGCTGGATTAGTAGTAAATACTATGGGCCCCGTGCATTTCTAACATCGCTATCGTTCTGTGCCAATAAATCAGTTTTTAAAGTCAGTGTTAAAAAATGCGAGTAATAAAATAAGCCACGCTTCTGACTAAACTCATATTTTTAAGTGTAACCATAAACTGACAAATAAAATTCACAGATATTTCGAGGGAGAGGATAAAAATAATGGCAACAGGCCCCTCTCTGGCTTAATTCGGCACTGGATCTCTCGTTCATTAGATCTAAAATGATTTTACTAGTAGGGTACCGTCTCGAACCCTGGCTTACCTACCTATTTTTGTATAAAAGCTCATTGAAGAAAATTGTTTTAGAAGACAAAATATCGAAACGACTATACAATATAAAGAGATCGCATATTAGAAAAAACGCTACGTGTTAGTCACTACATAACATTGCGATAGTAAATCTTTTTTGTTATTTCCGTAAATATGCACACTTTGTACTGTATATTACGTTTGCACTTACACTTGTTATCACTTACGTTTATCTCAACCTGTCAGATTATCTCGCGGCGCTCTCACTAAGATTACAAAACATGAGCACTAATCTGAACCTTAAGTCTTAAATCATACGCCTCGAATTTGACCTGCTGCTTCGTATGATTATTAGATCTGTTTGCTTTTGATGCTTAAGAAAAATAAACGCTCTTACAATCATTTTAGAGGCCAAATCGCCACAGCGAGTACATTGCCTTGATTATTTTTTAATACATTATTCAACAGTTGCGTTGCGGTTCTGTTATGGAACAGTTTAACGTATATTTATAATGTAATTATAATTATTTCTTTGTCGGTGAATTTAATATGAAATAAAATTGAAATAGTGAAATGAAAATTTTATTAAACGTTTGTGTAAAATAATTCTGTATTTTAATATCGATAATTATTTTTATGAATTAAATCTATAATGGTAGTAGTAGTCCATATCCGGCATAACACGGCAATATTAAGCCGCGTACATAGCTATGTCTTTATGTGAATACCACACGACGCCAATCTAAAATAAAGTATGTAATATGTATATTTATCTGAGTGAGTGAATGAAATTGATCATTAAACAATCCTAATGTGGAATTGATGTTTTAATTTAATATCAAACGAGATGCCCGGTGACAATGGTGGTTTCATGTTTTTCGTGGCAAAAGGTGTGTTCGAGTATATATTTAAAGTATTGAGGGAGTGTGAAGAACAATCAAATTGTAAGTTAATTATTTTATGTAATTGAGTTGGGTAAAGGTGGTTTATAATAAGTATTGTAAATTTAGGTGTTTAAGTAAAATATGAGTAGAATCTGTAACTTGACAATAGTTTCATAATTAACTTGCATATAACGACTTAACGTTATATTCATGATTTAGCTATAATTACATATCTAAAATTAACAACGGGATTATTTATTTGTGACAAGTTCATTTATATCAATCGAATTTGAGATTTAAAAAAGTAACTGCCATTTTGATGTAAAGAGTGTTAGTGATTTTGTGCTTTAGAATCGATCAAATTAAGCTTATTATTAAGGTCTCTCACTACATAGTATGCAAACAAAGTCGCTTTCTCTGTCCCTATTTTGATACGGTTTTTTTTTTCATAGATAGGGTGATTCAAAAGGAACGTTTTTGTATATATTACAAGACCACGCAGGCGAAGCGGCTGGCGGAATAACTGAATAAGCCTGAAATTAAATGTTGGTGTATATTTAAGTCTAACAAAAACACCTGGTATCATTTAGTTTGTCAGTTCTGAAGTTTGCGACCGATGAAACGTAGCGTATCCGCCGTCAGAAATGCACCAACCCTAATAAATTATTAACACTCACTTTTTAAACAGCACATTTGCTTATAAGCACACTTTTTCCTTTACTAGAATATTATAATGAGAAATAACTTGATAGTTTTTTTTTGGCGCAAACTACCAAACCTATTTAAAAAATTCTTACCCCAGTATAATTAAACATAATGAAAGAAGATCTGTTGCACAAAAGTACATTAAGGTTTAATGACGCTTTAAGACGTCGATTTAAACTAATGAAAATTTTAATAGACGTTTGTGCAACTAACTGAGAGTCGCCCATTTTCCCTATTCGAATGGATTTGTTTGCGTTCATATTGAAGGTCTTTGTCCCAATGGTGGGGAAATTAATAGACTGATGTTGATAATGAAACAGTAATGTTAGCTATATTTTCTTTAAAAAAGGTTTGAAAAGTAATTAAAATTAGCTTACTTCTTAATTTACAACATAAAACGACAGAAAAGTAGTACATAGGTACATTTTATTCTGAGCATGGGTGATTTTTATCATTAGCATTTTCATTGTATAATAACATTTGTTGATAGTCTCATAAGTTTTTCTGTATTTCGAGTATTTATAATCACATATTTTATGGATTGGTTTATCGAAAACTCGTATTTGTTAAATTATTTAATGTAAAACTGTTACTAGACGAAGTACAAGGGTTTTTTAATAACTTAAGTTCAATAGTCGGTACTGATTTATAGTAGATGTATATTTAGTATATTTTTTTATTATTAACATGTGTGATAATTCTTTACGATGTTATATAATATTTGTCTTATATAAAGGTACTTAAAATATTCACTGGTCCCAAGTGCCCGAGATGATAAAAGTCATCATCATAGATCACTTTTTAGAAAAATCTTCTTATTCCTAATAAACTTTGGTATAACAAGAAGATTTGATTTGGCTGATTCTTATTGTTTAAGTATAATATTAATACTTTGCCATGATTGTTTTTTTTTATCTTAATGATAAATGCTTAAAAATTCCACTTTGTCCCTGGTACTGTAAAATATGAGATGCTCTATATACTTATATGGATCGCCTGGTGATCTGTAATACGGATCTAAAAACCTAGGCAAGCACCACACTCCCCCAAATTACTTAATGTTCTAAAAATTATTATATATGTTATTTATTGTTATAAATGATGTAATTTATGCTGAAAATGTATATTATCATTATTATGAGGATAAAAAGTATGCCATGTTATACTATGTCTGGAAACTTTATGTAAATGGATGATTACCTGCCTGGTGAATGTTTTAAGTACTTTTTTTATAATTTTTATTAAGTATAAGTTTCTGTCAATGTCTCAAAATGAACTCTATAAAAATGTTCAGACAGTGCAAATGCAAATCTATTTGACGACTTTTTGAGTTAGAAACACAAACGTACTCAAATTCAAATAATGGGGCTCAATTATAAAATTAAACATTCAAGTATTACATTAAAAACCATGCATTCGATTTTTTTTTGTATTGACTCATAAAATTCTGGTATTTATTTCCCACATTCTAGCAAAAAACTATTTCAAAAGCTCTCACAATTATTTTGATATTATATTATTTTATTATTACTGCTGAGTTTTGCATTATTACATTGATACACTATATCTATGCTTGGCGCAATACTATTCTAAATGGTGAAACCCATCGCTACAAAACACAACTGATATGGCGTGCAAATATACATACAGCAGCACATTAATAAAAATGCTCTACAGATTAAAGCTTATAATCGATTGGAAAAATATGGCCTTTTAGTACCCTGCGTGCTATAAATTATACCAGCGAAAAAGGCTAAAATTCGAAGCACGGTAAAAGTTGACCAATCTAAATTATTCAAGAAACGCGCTTGAGCTCCACCGAGTGTGAGTGAGATGGACACCTAATGAGTTGTATTATATACGTTATGATTATTAAAAAAAAACTAATTTTGTCATCATCGGAATCGGCAGGTCTGCTCCGATCAAACGAAGATTCACGACGCCACATATTAGTTGGGTTTTTATTATGTGTAAAATTTGCCATTATATTCAAAGTAATCGTTAAAATTACAGGAACAATTTCGAAGTTGCAAAACTAAGGTTAGTTATTAATGAGTCATGGTTTCGACAGCTTGTGCCGCAGCCAGACCTCAATCACTGCCAGGGGCGGAGTCGCTAGGGGGCGCTGCGGGGCCCGCTAGTCTCACCAGTCTCACCCCAGATCACCAGCTCAGGGAAGACTTCACTATCCTTGCGAAAGACTTGGTTACCAATCTAAAAAGCATCGTGTCGACTTTGGTAATTAATCATTTTAATTTCTAGTCAAAATATGAGAAATTGATAGTTCAAAATATTAATGTCTGATATGTTTTTATTCACTATTTACTATACTTTATTGCACAAATTACTAAAACTAAAATTGACTATTTTAGCTTTAGAAATCGAGAACCGAAGTTGCTAGTTTAGATGACCATATGAATAGACACGTACGCTCACACTTTTACGCAAATTACTTGTACTGGTAGTATTTTTTTGCACAAAACACTTTACAAGTCTGATCGTCATTACGAACCTAAAAGAAGTAGCAAAAGTTGCACAGTATTCCTACATCAAAAATAGGTTTATAAGATTGTATGAGAATTCATTATACCCGCGTTTTTTTATATACATAATATTTTTTACATTTTAAACGCAATTTGGAAAAGTTATCTATTATAAGATTACATGTGACTATAAAATAACATTAAAGTAAACCAATTTTTTATTTTTTTTCTAGTCAGAATGATACAATGTAGTTGCCTATTTGACTGTTTTGAGTAAAGTATTTCTCTCATAAGATAATATTAAATCACTATCAGATTCTTTTTCTCCAAATAGTTTATCTCGTGAAAACAATCAGTTACGTGACATTTCGAGCCATGAAATTTAAATAAACATAACTACTGGTAGCACTTGCTACAAAGACGTTGATGTTTAGTTTATAGAAATGTGACGTCACACGATGCTCCGTCATGGATATTTCAGTTCTTGTCTTGTATTTATAGTCTGTGGATACGAACCGCGAACTAATTTTGCAAAAATACAATATATAAAAAAAATAACATCTATTGTATTCATATAAGTTGACATCTCCAACATTTATAAATTATATCTATTGCTGTCAAGTAGCCAATTGGCGCCGTTATATTGCTTTTGCTTGCATACCAGCACTTTGTAATTCTTGTATTATGTACTCTGTTGCATACGAATAACGACTTAAATTCGTTTGTGTTATAGGTGATAGAAAGAGGCCGTCTCCGTGCGGCAGTGGAAGCGACGGATGGCTCTTCTCCCGGTGCACTGTTAGCCGCGTTGCGTACAAATCTCAGCTCCGCCTTACATCAAAACAACGGTGAGTTGATATATTCGAAGTGTTACTAATTTGAACCTTAATGTAAACGATTTAGAGACATTAATTTTACTTACTTGGAATAATAGCTTAGAAGCCAAAATCATTGTGGGGATATCGGGATATGCACCTCAGCTTTAAAAACCTCATCCATGTTAAAAAAAGTCCTTATCGCATTAGTTTTGTTAACACTGCTTATCTGAATTAATAGCAACATTTATCATATTTAATAATGATATAAATCTGGAATGTTGCAAAATTATTATAGGTGTACCAAAAACTTACGGCAAATCAAGAAATTTTAATTTGTAGAAGGCAACATTGGGAAAAAGGATAAAGATGTCTTAATACTTAATATATTTTTAATATGATAAACACTTTTCAGTGACTGCCACATAACATTGATCATATTCCTATCTCGACAAATTTTTACACAGATTAGCCATCTGCGTGGGACATAAAATAGTTCACAAACATACACCCGGTCTAGATAAAAAAACTGGAACTCGGAATCTAACAATAAATAAAAGAAGCTTTCTTTATGTATTTATTTATTGCTAATCTCTACTAATATTACAACTGCTGTTACGCTTACAGAAATAAATCGAATCTGCCCTAGTTTATTAAATCTGCGCTAGTTTATTTTCTTCTTTTCATGGTTCCTATTTTTATCCGGTGTAGAAATGTCTTTATATCTTCTCCTTCGTTAATAATTCGTTTTATTGTAGTACGTATATTCATTGGCATCGACATGCCAACGAATATTTACGAATTTATTATTTAAAATAAGTGAAATATTAAATCTCGTCATTGCTAGTTACCAGTCAATTCATAAACATACTTTAATTTTCACAAATTTTGCTATAAACATTAAAACAATATTTCTCGCTTGAGATATCAGTGGCTTTTTGGGCATTTTCACAAAATATTCTTGACAGTTGTCAACAGTATACATTTTATATTGCCATATGAAAATCGAGACTTTTCTTTTTATTTTTATTTTGCCATCTTATTCTGATACACCTATATCTATTATTATATACAACGTGTCCCAAAATTCAACGATAAGCGGGCGCCAAGAGGTAGACCTGCTCATGTGTACTTATGGAAAAATAAGAAAAAAATTATATCTTATTAATCTTTTTTATTATAAAATTAAATTCGAAAATCTTCGAAAATTTACACATTTTATGATATTTTCAACTACCACGACTACAACTTCTCAATTATGTTCAATCTTTTTTTGGTATCGGATACCTAAGTAGCACTACTATTCGCTACAACTCTTAAAAACACCAAAATGCCCGCAGTTTTTACACAAAAAACAATGAAAATGTATTTTTTCCTTAAATTTTCACAGATTTTTACGTTCCGTAATCTTTGACTTACGGTCTTGTAAAAAAATAGTATGGACACCACTGTGGCAAGTTGTTTTTAAAATTGACTGAACTCATCAAGATTCCAAAATGGTATAATAATCTAAGATAACTAGTCACAGTAAAAAAATATGCACACCATTTGTAAACCAAGAGTATTCCGGGCGTTGGATTGGGCGACTTGGTCCTATCTTATGGCCACCCCGATCACCCGATCTAAACCCCCTGGACTTTTTCTATTGGGGTTGTCTCAAAGACAAAATCAATGAAAAACCCATTACGACATTGGTCGAGCTTCGGCAAAAAATTAGTCAGGCTGCGTCACATATCAATGCTAAAAGGTATGCACGAAAAATAAAACGCTCTTTTTTAAGGCGATGTCGTGCATGTATTAATGCCGGTGGAAAACAATTTGAACATTTACTGTAATGTTAATTATTAATAAATGAATGAGACTAAAACTCACTATTGTTTTATTTCAATATTTTTTTTAAATATTAAAACATTTCGGAACAGTACAATTTATTACTCACAACTTTGGTTCTTGATTCTAAATGGTATGATTTTTAGTTTGTTGCTAGTTATCATGAAGTATTATACCATTATGGAATCTTCATGAGCTGCGTCAATTTTAAAAACAACTTGCCGCAGTAGTGTCCATACTTTTTTTCTACATGACTGTGAGTCAAAGATTACGGAACGTAAAAATCTGTGAAAATTTAAGGAAAAAAATACATTTTGATTGTTTTTTGTGTAAATACTATGGGCATTTTGGTGTTTTTAACAGTTGTAGCGAATATTAGTACTACTTAGGTATCCGATACCAAAAAAAGATTGAACATAATTGAGAAGTTGTGGTCGTGGTAGTTGAAAATATCATAAAAGGTGTAAATTTTCGAAAATTTTCGAATTTTATTTTATAATAAAAAAGATTAATAAGATATAATTTTTTTCTTATTTTTCCATAAGTACACATGAGCAGGTCTACCTCTTGGCGCCCGCTTATCGTTGAATTTTGGGACACGTTGTATAAACATACATATATATATAACGTAAAATATTATATAAAACATTTAATTTAACGCACAGATAAGTAGATTCCCTAGAGATGATTCTGTCAAAATTTACACAAGTTTACGCCCAATATATCATTGTATATTATATCAATTTACATATTATTGTCACAGATAACTTTTCGGTGCGTTGACGAACGACACACTCTCATCAGAACGTTTAAAATCAAACGCCATCTTGAGTTTAATAGTCGATATTTACATGGAAATGATATTATAGTAATTTTGGCTTCTCATCTCATCGGCCCTGTGGCGCAACGGATAACGCGTCTGACTACGGATCAGAAGATTCCAGGTTCGAATCCTGGCAGGGTCGTGGTTATTTTTTGTTACTATTTTTTTTATTAAATATGTTTTTACTGTTAATTTTGTTAAAACGTTTTATAATGATGAAATGCATATATATTAATTTATTATATTATATACTTTTAGCCGTCATAAGTGATAACCTATGTCACCTGTGTATGTTAATAGGTCACCATAGGTGAAAGTATTTTTAAAATCAGTCAAGTATTTTCTGCGACTATTGAATACAAACAAACAAACGACCGAATCTTTCCTTTTTATATTATGTATTAGTATAAAATATTACACAAATTCTTTTATATAATAAATAATATGAAATCGTTTGCTTTTCCCGACGTATATACTAATTGTAATTGTAACACAACAGATATAGATAATACTACATTGACACGTGGGACAATTATAATTTCCCCTCTCTCTTTATCTATATCTCTCGATCGCTTTTTTCTGAAATTTTGTCGATAGTTTATTAAGTATATTTTTATATTGCGATTTATTTCATTTATATCTTCTGCTTTGAAATCCTTGTGAATTGTAGTTACCTTTCATGAAAAACAAGTATTTAATTGGCTGTTTGACAATTTGTAACATTTTAATAACAACGATTATCCGTTGTTTTTATTGTATTTTTCACATAGTGGCTATTCAGTAACCATAAATTCATTATTGGACAAGATTCCATGATATGAGTTGTCTCAGATTAGTGGTGATATAATATTTGTTGGCATACATTTCGGAAACACGACGTTTCTATTGATTCATAAAAGTTATTAATAGGTTCGAAAAAGGCAAGAATATGACGGAGATTTTATTTTATGTATTTGATTTTACAATTAAAGCAGTAATGTTTTTATAAGTTTTTATTTAACTTGCAGTGTATTGTATGTATGATCGCCAAATCTTGCTAGTGAATTTTAAAGCAATTATCGTCTACTGATTAAAGTAAATTTTGTATACAGATTTACGTATATATGACAATGCATGGTTAACCAAGTTATTCTTACGAATTTTAAAAATTTATATATATGCGATGGCGCCTTATCTATAATAATAACAATAGATTCCCAATAAGACTGTGATTCCCATGTATTCCACCATAAAGTAAATTTTATTTATCTAGGAACAAGTGTTTCTATTTTTCTCTATTTTTTATTTGAGTAAATAAAAAAATACTTATTGTTTTATATCATATTATTATACTGTCAAATAGCCAATGTTCCTCTCTTCACGTTCTTGCATGTTACTCGAGATTTGAGTAGGCACACCTGATGTCTGTCAAATCATCCCCCCCACTGCCCCCACTCTATCACACGCTCGACCCTCTTCCCTGTCCCGTGAATCGAACCCACACTGTTGTAGAGTCTGAGCGAATGTGTTATGTAAATAATGAATGGTTAAAGTGTTGAATACAGAACTGCGTTCCCGGCTGTCGCGAATCCATGACGCATCCGACTTGGCAGAGATATCGTCTGTGGGACCTAATTCGGATCCTGTAAGTATTATTATCATCATCAGTCTATTAATATCCTCATTGCTGAAGCACATTCTTTCTCCATAGAATGAATGGAATAGGTAGTGCGATAAGTTAGGTCTCAACGTCATATACAACTGCTAAAAGGGCCTTCCGAAGCAGGGATGAGCTCGAAATAATGAACTTTTGGTCACCCATCTTATGACAGGCCCTTGCCTAAGTTGCTTAATTTCAGCATCACAGACTGAACTACCCTATCAAGCTCTTAACATCATCATCGCTGATTTGTGCTATATCGAAGCACACACGTTCAAATCATTTTAAAGACATTTTAAAAGTTGAATATTTATATCTTAATAGTTTTTTTATTAATTTTTTTAAGTGAAACATTTCAAACGGCATTATAATTCAATCCATACCTTATGAGACTTAATTAGGACTGGTAGCTCAGCTATTAAGAACTTAATTACAGATAACTTACACCCCAAAATAAACGGCTTTGTTTAAACACATTACTTATTTTCTGATGATGATTCCCATGATTGCGAAAAAGTCAATATCCAATTGCACAAATTCTTTACCAGCAGGGTAACCGTCAGTTCCAACAGTCGTTGAGCTACAGTTCTTCATGCGTTTCTGCATCGGAGTTCTTCGACGCGGAGGAACACGAAGACGACCTCAAGCCGTCAGAGATCATAGCGGCAGACGAGGTAATAAAAACCATTATCAGCATTATACTCATGTTATTAAAATTCAAAATTAATTTTCATTAGTTTAAGTGATATTCCATCAGGAACAAATAACTCGTACGAATTTACATGATACCTGAGAGCCTATTCTATTTGTCCTCAACAAAAAATTAGGGAAATTTCGAATCGTTTTTATGGTTTTGTTAAAATCATATTCGTTAAGATTATCTATGTATTACTAGACAACTGTGACAGGAAGTCTTACCTCCAGTTTATCATAATTTATCGGAAGATGCTTTTCTTTCGAGTTGTTTTCGAATTGTATTAACATTTCTGAAATAGACGAAAAATCCTTTTAAGTGTCATGTTAATTAATACAAGTAATTTTTAACCTCCAGATCGGGACTGTCCCAACAATCAGTCCTCGAACCTTGCCGCATGCCTCCATTAGTGTCCCCCCTCCCACCCTCTCCAATGAAAGTATTTTTCAGCAGATTTTATCGGGTATTGTCCTTAAAGGGTAATCCTAACGGCTAGGCTTTACTGATCCGATTCGATCTAATTTAAAGTGTTGAAAAGTCACAACGAAATTTTTTGTTATAGGCAGGAGTTATAGAGTTGGACGGCGACTCATCTTCCGAAGCGGGCTCGTTGAGCAGCGAAGAAGGCTCGGCGAGTTCCGATAACTCTGACGGAGCGAGTAAGTTATCCAATCTTTTTTTTTATTTCGCACCGAAACGCTGGCAACGGTGTCTTATTATTATGATTCTCCTATATTTTTTGCACTATATGTAAATACTAGCTGACCCGGCGAACTTCTTACCGCCTAACAGTCAATGAATGTCGTGTTACCTTTTAGCTGAACTAATTTAGGCTTTGATGAACGTAATACAATGATACATACGGAATGAGAATAAAAATTAAAAAAAAATAATAATTAAGTATTTCAAACACATGTCTGACCATGAGAAAAACACGCATTTTCTAGATTGAGGCCACAAATAGTCAAGGATTATTTATTATGATGAATACATACAGAATGAGAATTAAAATTAAAAAAATAATAATAATTAAGTATTTCAAACACATGTCTGACCATGAGAGAAACACGCATTTTCTAGATTGAGGCCACAAATAGTCAAGGATTGGCCCTATGGTTTGTTGATCGTCATGGCGAAAGCAAGACGAATCGGGAATTGAATTTGTTTAAACTCAAAGGGCATATCTGTTGGGATCATCGGAATCCTTGGAATAAGAACGTCCTCATCTTTAAATTTTCCTTTAAGTATCGACGCGTGAATCACATTGCTCATCAGTTTTCTTATCAGCAAACGCGTTCCATTGCACAGTTTTGGTTGGTTTAAATTTCTAAGCATGATGACTACCGAGCCAACCTTCAGTTGTAAATTGTGCGGTGGTAAACCAGGCACATCCAAGGAGTTCAAAAATTTATTGAAATGATTGAGTATTCATTACACATTTCTGAACGCACGCGTAATATTTTCAATTTTTTTAAAAAAACAATACACATAATAGTTTATTCATCCATTTTAAACAGTTTATGAACGCATGCATAAATGTCAATCATTACTTACAGATTTTGACAAAAAAAAAATTGACAGCTCCAAAACTAAACAACTTTTAGGGAAAATAACGCATTTTTCAAGTATTCGTCAATTTTTCATTATTTTTAAGATGTATTCTGCTATTCGGGGCGGAAACAAATCCAACAAACCATGAAAATTGGTCCAGAAGATCTCGAGTTATAAGTTTTGTAACAAACCCGACTTTCTTTTATATATATAAGATATTACATTTTCGATGACTTTTATTTCATCACGACAAATTTAAAAAAGAAATATTATATACTACTACGGACTATGGTTCATAATCTAACGTGTGTATGTAGGACTCGCACTTGATCTAATCTATATACAGGCAGTCCTCGACTTACGTCGTTTCAAGTTGACACTATTCCTCAAGCATACCTCAATTGTTTCGATTTGCCTGAAATAGGAATAGGAGAATTCACTTGTCGCGCGGTCAATGTCCGTGGGGTTTTAATGTTAATAACAAAATTTGTGTAGCCTATCAGTGTGACCAACCTGCATGATAGCAAGAAGAAAGAAGCACAGCAATCGAGAATCGATAGTTTCTTTAAGCCTGTTTAATTAATGAGTTGATTGAGTTTAATTAAAATTTAAAATTAATTAAAATTAAAAATTGAGTAAAATTGACCATGAGTTTAATTAATATTTCTCATGGCATATTTTGATTATTAAAGTTATTGAAATACCAAAAATACTAGCAATTTCATAAGTGCATTTATAAATATCTTAAGTTTAATTAATTACTTTTGATAATAAAGTATTTATATCCTATATTATAAATGTGGTTTTCTGTTTGAGTCCGTGTGGAACCTAAACCTCGAATTTTACATGTAAACATATAAAAAAATATGTGTCGACTTAAGTCGATTCGCTTTACGCCGCGTATTTCGAGAACCTAACATGCTGTAAGTACGAGGACTGCCTGTATATAAAAAACACTCGAAAACGACTAGTTCGATTTGTAATCTTAGTCGTAGTCCAATAGGTTGAAAGGTTCACCCAGTGAAATAGTAACGTAACACTCCTTTAAAGCAATACGCATGGTCAACTATTGTGTATAACCATGACGCCATGTCCGTCGATAAGTCAATTCTGGTGGGTTAAACCAAGAAGCCCGCTCAACGAGTCCTTACTATGGTACGGTATGAAGCCTGTAATCAGACAAAGGGCCCTGTTCCTTACTTAACAAGGCCGCCAAGGTCTCCTAGACAACAGAAAGTTGTATACCATTGACAATATGGGAACACTCGAGTTATAATTAAATATTGTCCGGTTAATATTAAATTAATATCGTCCATTAGCTATCTAAAAATGTTGCTTATTATCAGCAACTATAGATCTCTTTCCTATACTATATTTCCTTGTGTGTTATCGTGTATACTAACTGTATTTATAACTCGCAGTGCTCTCGGCGGAGCAAGTGACGCTGCGTTTGAATCAAAACGGCATCGAACCCCGACCCGCGTCATGTTGGACACGACGGACTTGCTTACCGAGCCCTCGGCCTACACCCGGCGGGCCGAGTCTATGGAACCTCCTGTACAAGAACATAGGGAAGGACTTGAGTCAGATATCTATGCCAGTCACCATCAACGAACCGTTGAATATGTTGCAGGTAATTTTGAGCCTAATATTAACTGTATAAGATTTGTTTTCGCTTATGATTGGCTTGCCGCCAGTCGCTTAGCCTGCAAAACTTCATGGGATAAAATGTAGCCTTTTAGCACTTGTAGTAACAAAATTTCAAACAAACTAGCAACTCCAAACACAATCCCTTAGGGGTTGAATTTCGCAAAATCCCATCCTGAATTGAAAAATAGATTTTTTGTAAATTATTAAATCTATAAAATTAATAAATGTTCTTAAAATATTTTTGTTTTCTTTTTATTCGTACTCTTAGTAGCGTAAAGTATCAAGTGCTTTAAATATACGTTAGTTCGTTTAGGTCCTGGGTAGCTCAATGGTTAGAGTAGTCTCCCGGATTGGAGACGTCATGGGTTCAAATCCCATCTCAGAGTGCCAGGGACAAAGTGAATTTTTTAAACATTTTTCATTAAGAATATTATTAATATTAAGAATACAGTATAACATAGCATTGTGAATGCAAAATTGAGCAAATATAATAATTTAAATTCTCAATTCAGGGTGCAAATGTTCTGATACACTTCTTCAAATTTTAAATATACTTAAAAATTAACCGTTTAGATTATGTTTATATGTATTTAACAATACACTCAACTATATATATTTTTCAATAGAGGCTGTGCGAAGAGCTCGAGTACTCTGAACTCCTAGACGCGGCGGCTGAATGTAAGAACGAGGTGGAACGTATGGCGTTGATAGCCGCGTTCGCTGTGAGCGCGTACGCATCGTCAGCTCATAGGGCTGCCAGTAAACCGTTCAATCCACTACTGGCCGAGACATACGAATGCATCAGAGACGACAAAGGGTTCAGATTCATTGCAGAACAGGTACGGAAATAAACTTGAACATAAATTTTACAGAAACTTGTTTTACGAAGACTTTTTACGAAAAAACAGCCCACGTGTAATAGTTGCGTGCCGGAAACGAGCAAAAAAATCACGTTTGTTGTATGGTAGCCCCCTTAAACGTTTATTTAATTCTGGTTTATAGTATTTGTTCTTGAAGCGACAATAGAAATACGTCATCTGTGATAAATTCAACGGTCTAACTTTCACAGTTTATTAGATACAGCCTAGTGACAGATAGACAGCAAAGTCTTAGTAATAAAGTTCCCGTTTTTTGGGTACGGATGCCTAAAGTAGTACAGTCAGTTACTTTTCATTACAGATATTTCTCAATACTAGCTTTCCTCCAGCGGCTTCGCCCGCGTGGTCTCTAGGGAACCTTAAAGTATTCTGTGTGTCATTTAAGGCTTAGAATTATTGTACCAAATTTCATCATAATCCTAAGTACTTGTTGCGTAAAAGAGTAACATCTTCATAAACTTTCACATTTATAATATTAGTAGGATAGCATTCTGAATGCAAAAAGGATCAAATAATAAATAATAAAATGTCTTTTATTATATTTAAATAATTTTGCATTCATTATGCTATACTGAAAAATATTCTTATTGAAAAATGCTAAAAAAAAAATCACTTTGTCCCCGGCACTCTGAGATGACCTTTCGCAATCTACTACTCAGGACCTAACAGGACTGCACTGCATTTTTCAAGCACTTGTTACTTTTTCGCTACTTTAGACCGTATTTCATCAAAGTTTCATCATACTCAAAATGCAAAAGGCGAAATCAATTACTTCTCGAACTCCATAGAATAAAGTAATATATGTCAATTTTTTTTTTCACTACGTTTACATTCTATGGCACTGCTACTGCCACTTGGACTACTCGGGACGCCCGAAAAGAGCAAATAACTAAGGTTTAAGACGCGAAGAAACAGATCAGTGATGCTTTTAAGACATATTAAGGATTGAAAAAAAAAACACGGACTGGCAATTTGATGGAATTGTTTAGACGTCTGCCATTGCCGAAACTCGAAAGTGAAGTGAGTGATAGGAATGATCTCTTGTTAAAGGTTGTGTTACTTTTTTAAATTTAATGCGTCTATCAGTCAGTTGCACAAACGTCTATTAAGGTCTAATGACGTCTTTAAGCTATAATGAATGTCAAATATGTATGGTTAATGTCGCTTTAAACTAATGAAAACTTTAATGGACGCTTATGCAACTGGCTATTAGTCTATTCTACATTAATTTATAACAACCTGTCAACAACAACTGTTTATTTATAACTGTTTACATGGACGAACTGATTGTAATTTATCACACACAAACTAAAATGGTTTAAGTGGACCATATACTGAAACCTGGATAAAAAAATCTATTTAGTATGTCAAACAATAGAAAAAATTTTGATATGTAATATTTTTTTCCTCCATTTTAACAAAAAAATACCTTAGATAACAGGCATTCAAATTGAGGAATGGTGGTTCGCTACGTCATAGTTTTGTAAAAATGTACAAGGGCGTGACGTCATGTGAAATTAAAATAATGTATCGCCGTAATAAATTAAAAAATACTTGTTTAATATTCCTCAATGATCTACCTGGTGGACAGACAAAAAACATAGTCATTATCCCTATTATATTTTTACTAGAATTAATAAATAAAGCAAGGGTCGGTCACGGGATGGGTGACCAAAAAATTGTTGTCTCGATCTATTCCGTGCTTTAAAAGGCACGATAAGCCGTTGGTCCCGGCTGCATTTGTAGTTTTTAATACCCTCCTATCCGCATTGGGCCAGCGTGAAGAATTATAAACCCTCCTCAACCATCGATAAGGTACGCTTGAGCCCCTCCAGTGGGGACGTAAAAAGGGCTGATGATGATGACGATGAACAAATAAATAATTTGTAATAGGTATCGCACCATCCTCCAATATCGGCATGTCACGCGGAATCGAGTCGATGGTGTTTCTGGCAGGAGGCTCGTATAAAGACAAAGTTCTGGGGCAAATCTATGGAGTTCCAACCGGCGGGGCGAGTGCACGTACGATTAACCACCACCGGGGATCATTACAGCTGGAACAAGGTCAGTTTAATATGTTTTCAACTCTAATTGAAATGTTTAAGGTTGATATTTACACGTCCCCCGAAAGTTGTGGAAATTACCCCATTTGATTTCTTTAGTAGATTGCTCAATATGCAAAGCATGATGTTATAATGAAAACCCTTACTGAGCTTATTATTTTCAACTTTATTTTAAAAAGAGTAAGGTTTATATGGTATTAACTAATCTTGCTTAAATTGTTTGGACGTTTGTGATTCTATTTAATTTTATTAGTAAAATATTTTTTATGATTGGGGGCTAATATTAGACGAAATGTTTACTTATTTGCCTTACAATGTTTGCACACTTAGATAATAAGTCACTTAAAATATATCAAGTTGTTTAATCTATAACATAGTTTTCAATTGTTAGATAAGATTTATTTGTAAAATAAACTCACTAATTTGAATTTGAAATGGTCGTACGTGGCTACCGTGGGTACCCTTTAAAGCGTATTTTTTCGTATTGAAATTATATTTCCAATTTCACAAACAATGGTTTCTCTATATGTGTGTATGTTCGTACGTGTGTGTGTTTGGGTGTTAGGAACTTTACCCCTCTTCCTGGCTGTTTTTGGGTAAGAATCCCACTTAGCTTTAAATAAAATTCACCAAATGCTTTAACTATCACGTTATAAGCAAAAATTAGGCTTAACTTTAGACATTTTTCAGGTAACAACTTGTGTACATAATTTGTTCGGTGGTCAGCGATGGGTGGATCAATACGGCGATATGCACATCACCTGCCACGGTACTGACATCACGTGTAAACTAAACTTTATAAAGGTGAGTTTATACGAGTGTTTGAAGTTACGATCACATATTATATATTTTTTTAATATACTGAACGAACATGTATCGCTGTAAATGTTGTATTTCGAGGTTAATGTAATATTAGACATGATTACATACATTACTCAGATTCCAAGATGAGTAACTAAAATGATGACGTAGTAAGCGCACTATCCCTTTTTTTTAATCCGTCGTTAACCTACAAGTACAGTTAGTGACCACAATAACTCGCGTTTTAATATAAACCTTTTTTCATCTTTACCTCCGATGTTAGAAGATTAACAAAAACGTGTCTGTATCTATGTTTACACCAGTACGCTTTCTTTCTTTCTTACTTTTCGTCTAGCGCATGCTTCAGCGACCTTATTTGAGATTATTTAAGAATATAAATCAAATCAAATTCTTTATTGACCTTGTAACAGAGAATGTTTCACTAGGTAAGTCATAATATACATTCATTGTCATTTAAGAATACGATATAAACTGTTATAATGTCATGATTATTAATAAATATAAAATAAATTATTTCAAATATAAGTATGTGTTTTATAATACGTAATTCGTTGTGTATTCAATAAATTAAAGCAAAAATTACGTTACAACTTTGTAAATTTTCTACATACTTGTGACGTAGCGAGCCACTCATCAACTTTAATGTCTAAGCCAGTTCTTGTTAAATTGAAGCTAAAAAAAAATACGTATCGAATAATTTTCTGACAAATAAAATTTCTTTTTTTATCTAGGCCTCATGCCTTCAAACGCACTGGTGTAGTAGCTTATGATTGACAGTAACTAACACAATATAAAATTCGAGCGCTGATTAAAGAAAATCCTTTATTTCTTGGTGTAGGCCAGTTCTTGGAGCAGTAGTCGTCACGAAGTCCGCGGCATGGTAACTGGTGGTGGAAGACTGAGGCTCCAGGGGCGATGGTCTGAAGCCCTGTACGCGGGGGAACCGCCCGCCGCGCGCTGTCTATGGCGACCAGGTAGATTATACTTGTACCAGACAGAATGTACTAGTTAAGTGTAGAAAATACACTTATACTCGAATCAAAGTTACCAGTTAAAACTGTACCACATACGCTCGAATCAAACTTACCAGTTAAATCTGTATCAAATACAGTTACGCTCGAATCAAACTTACCAGTTAAGACTGTGTCAAATACACTTAAATTCGAATTAAATTGACCAGTTAAAACTGTACCAAATACACTTATACTCGAATCAAACTTACCAGTTAAAACTGTAACACACACTTACGCTCGAATCAAACTTACCAGTTAAAACTGTATCAAAAACACTTATACTCTAATCAAATTTACCAGTTAAAACTGTATCAAATACACTTATACTCTAATCAAATTTACCAGTTAAAACTGTATCAAATACACTTATAGTCGAATCAAATTTACCAGTTAAAACTGTATCAAATACACTTATAGTCGAATCAAATTTACCAGTTAAAATTGTATCAAATACACTTATAGTCGAATCAAATTTACCAGTTAAAACTGTATCAAATACACATATACTCGAATCAAACTTACCAGTTAAAACTGTACCAAATACACTTATACTCGAATCAAACGTTTCTCTGAAAATGTTTGCCTATCTCCAAGCAACATTAACTATAATTTTTACATATTATTACGCATTATTTTAGTCTTTAATCTACATTTGTCGAATTTTGACCACAAATAATCATGCCCACATGTTTTTTTTAACTGTTGCATCTAAGTACCATTAGTGACAATTTAAATTAGTTGTTGCTCAAAATAATATATAGGCATCTTTTTATCTAGAAGCCAAAGAATTAAGTAATTTTTAAATAATGTTTTGAGGTTATATCAACTGCCAAATTTCATGATAATTGTAAAGTTATTTTAAAAATAAATGCATTTGAATCAAATCTTTTTAAAGTTTGACTCGTAAATATGGAAATAATCTAAAGTTAATGTGCACCTTTTTACCATATGACGAAAGAATATTTTTTCGTATTACATGAAACGAAACGTAGCAAACCGTCATCGTAGGGTCCGAATCGCATTCGAGTAGTTATCGTAGTACTATTTAAAAATTATTATTAGCCTCGTAATGTTTATCCTTACTTTATCTTAAGATTTAATTTCCTAATATGATAATTTGTAAAAAAAATAAGCTACATTTTGACATATATCACATCACTAGAGGCAGGCGTTAGTAACTTGGTTTATTAGTTTTGAAAGCCATTTCAATGCAGATAAAAATCCTGGCTGCTTAATTTTCGTAAAAAAATGTGAAAGTTTTTATTTCATGTGTTAATGTAATCAATGTAAAGGATAAATTAACTGAAAAGATAACATATCAACTTACAATACTTATTTTATATGCTAATAGGTGCTATGCCTCCGGAACACGAGTTGTATTATGGCTTCACTCGGTTCGCGATGGAGTTAAACGAAATGGAGCCAGGCATGCAGAAGATGTTACCACACACAGATACGCGATTCCGGTATGCCTGTTTCTTTTTTCATAAATAAAGCATAATATTTTACTTAGTTCGGAGTGATAATATCTTGATTTTTATAAAACCTTACATAAACTCTTTTTGTACTTTAGGACTTGTTAAATGGGAATCATCGTTAAACAAATATCAAGTGTGTTTTTTCTATTAGAGAGAAGAGTTTATCTTAGTCTGTAAAATTGTTTCTTGTTTAAACAGTTTTTTTTTTTTTTGTTATTTTGATTATTTTGTTGTGTGATTTTATAGTTGTATTTATTTACTAAATTTTTGCCAGTACCTACGGGTAAATTGTACGATAATTATCATGTTTATTAAAAAAAATACTATTTTGATAACTAAGAATCCTGATTTTTTTCTCCAAATATCAAAAATAGTTTTTGATACTTTTATCACAAATATTCGTAGAAAGAATAATATGGATAAGAGTTTTTCTGGAAAGCATTGCCGGATTCAATCGGTCAAATTCAATATATTATAACTATGTTTAACCCATTGCTCTTTTTGTAATAATTGATCAAAACTATTGAATTTTGTTTAACCTTTTTGGGATTCCGTTTTGTAATAATCGTATATGATAATAAATAGGCCAGACCAACGTGCCCTAGAGCTGGGCGATGTAGACGCGGCGGAACATTACAAACACGAGTTGGAACAAGCGCAACGTGAACGGCGACGTGACTGTCCAGACCATATGCCTGCCTGGTTCAGGTATTATATGGATTTATATTGATTTACACTCATTTATACAAGCTGTGCCCGCGACTTCGAACGTATGGAAAATAACCTAAGGTACTCCTTATAACATAAGCTATCTGCCAGTGAATGTCCCTTCAAAATCGGTCAAACCGTTTCAGAGATAAGCCGAAACAAACAGACAGACAAAAATGTAAAATAATAATAGTCAATTTATAGTTTTTTACGTATGAAAATATTCATTTTTGCCTCTTTAGTGTAGACTAATTGTAGAAGTTTTCATTTTATTCAAAAACGACAATACTACTCTACAATCGTTAAGTAACTACATATTTGTGTTGCGTACGAAGTTGGCTCCAGTCCGCATTGGGCCAGCGTGAAGGATCATGGCCCATCCTCCTTAACCATCCATAAGGAAGTGGAGACGTAAAAGGGCTGATGATGGTGTAAATTAAATTTTCAGTAAACGGATGGAGGATGGTGAGGAGATGTGGGTATTCACCGGTGATTATTGGAAGGCGCGCGAGGCCAACTTCCCCGGACATACCGCGCCCCGTATCTGGTGACCGCCATACGTTACCGCCCACACGCCCCCTGTACGTATTAATACATTACACTCTGAATTCAATTGATATATCAACCAATATATATCATGACTAGCTTTCCGCCAGCGGCGTCGCCCGCGTGTTCCCTAGGGAACCGTTTATTTGAATATCGATTCATACACGGAAATAATTACAATGACAAATAGAATAGTGGACAATCGTTACTATGGTAACATTTTACCTATACAAACTTTGACTTCCATTTTCTTCCTTTTGCTGATTTTCGGGATAAAATATAGCCTATGTTCACCTCGTATGATGTAGCTTCCGGTAGTTGAAAGAATTTTTAAAATCGGTCCAGTTGTTTCGGAGCCTATTCGTTCCAAACAAACAAATAAATGTTTCCTCTTTATAATATGAGTTTAGATATATATCGATTGATATATACTTTGATATTTATAATATTTATTGTTAGTTTGAGTATTGAGTCTCAACTAGAATATTAATCAACCCGATGTAACGTTGGCAACATTGGCCCGAAGTAGAAATCTTACTTACTAGAAATTTCGGGTTTTATACGTAATATGAACGCAAAGTGCGAACGTTTAGTTTTTTGTTATTTAATGCTTATGTTCATATAATAAGGTTTATTATAGTATGTAGGTAAGAAGTCGGATATTGCCCTATACGTTAGGAGTTCTCGCTCTCACACTACTTCTTAACCATTTTATAATAAATAAATATTAAATAAAGCCATTCGCATCTTGAAAATCGCAAGTTTTCATATGCATGTAATATATATATCCGGTAAATATGGGATAATTATCAAATATCGGATATTTTTTATATTTATTATAAATTTATATATTATCGGATTTTTGCGAACCCTGATTACTATCATCTTTGATTTAACAAAACGACCCTTATATAACAAATGGGCCACAGAACGGTCCCCCGACTACAAAGTGATTTGATATAGATATTTATTAATATGATTATATATACATAGAGCATTTAAGTTTAGCCAAGCCGTGATACGAAAGGAGTTAAATATTATGATTTTTATACTTTTTCAAGTGATTATATTGGTCGAGGTTATTAGGGACAATATTGGATAATATAAAAATATAACATATTCTTTTGCTTCAAGTAGACAAGAATTAAATTAAATCATAGGTGTTAAATTTACAATGATTTACCTGACGGACAAAAATAGACACAGCCAGTTGCACAAACATCCATTAAAATTTAAAGCGTCATTACCCATACAAATTTGACATTCATTAGAGTTTAAAGGCGTCATTCAACCTTAATGGACGTTTGTGCAACGGACCGATAGTCTTCGTCCTTATCGATTGGCTTGTTTGTATGTCTGAATAAATGAGCAGTACGTCAGGTTACTACAATATGTCGAATTGCCAGTTGATTTTAGATCCACACTTAATACGTTTTAAAGTAAGGTTTAAAATCAATTGGAGACACAAAATTATTGTATAACCTGATATTCTGTTGACCGTCCAACATCATAAATGACATAGATAAGTTTTAACGTAAAATGAAACTTATTACAAATAAACATTCGATCTATTTCAGCGTATCCCGCAGTGCGAGGTGCTCTGCTAGTGGTTGTGTACTGTTCGCTTCCCGCTTATTAGAGCTTTATAATAGCCTTCATTGTTAAGTAATTATCTATTACAACTTCCAACTAACCGCGAAGGCAAAACAAAGTACTTGTTGTCGACAGGCGTTCTACTATTAAGTTATGATCGTTTATCTCATTCAAACATTGTGCTTACTTCGACTGAAATATAAACGAAAGGTAGCTAAGAATTACATTCAAATGCTTTAAACCGAACTGCTGTCGACTTCAGATGCAATCGTCAACAGGTCCTTCATTTGAAATCTTCTTTAGTTTTGTCTCTTTTCTACCGAGTGAAAGAGACGTTTATAAACTAAAGTCACACAAAAGTGTTTTCAAATAAAGGATCAGTTTCAATTTAAATAAGCCTTTTTTCGAGAGAGATGTAATTTGTTTTCTATATTTCTAAGTTACCTTGGTTGTATGAATTAATTTATTTCTATAAAAGACATTCAAGATTTGGATAAGCACTGTTGGTGCGATTTCATGTTATATTTTAATTATATGTTTTTTATAAAATACAAAAAGCAATGGCAATGATTTGGTTACATAAATCAAACTTAATTTTAACTAGAGGCTGTCACTGTCTTTCTGCCAAAGCACACTTATTAATAATAAATTGCACAGATTGTATTCAATTTTGGACTTTATTCACGAGCCTCTACATATATATAATAATGATTATCGATAAAGCTGATAGTTCCAATATTTTTTTTCATATACCTTTATAAACACTGACAGCGTAGTTTAAATTTAAATCTGATGTTATGAAACTTAAATCCATATATACATCTCTGTTGTTGCTGAACGATTCTAGAAAATTTAACGAAGTTTATAAAAAATTGTATATCCAAAAAATCAATGCACTTATGTTCGAAATCAATCAAGTTTTAACTTAACTATGCCTATAATAATGTCTTGCCGTCACTTGAATAATCAAATAGTTAACATGTTTTAATTAATTATTAATATTGTTTCATTATTATTAATATTTTTTTGCGTTACAAAAACCTTTTAGGTTTTTTTAATAAAGTGTTGATATTTTATCTCTCTCACTAACGCTAGATGATTTTAGATAATACGTAATGAAATATTTTCTATAAAGAGAACGCTAGCATAGTATTCATGAGCATTATATTTACTTGCGTGAAATGTTAATATATCAGAAAAACAGGTAGGAATTGTCACTTTCTTGAACAAAAAACTTAATCATTTACTGGCTTATAACTACAATACACTGTATTTATTCAGTCTAGGCTGTCAAAAGCACTTTTAAAAGTGAAAAAAGAGTCGCAAATCTAAGACTGGAGTAATTGCAATAAGAAGTACCGGCAAAAACTCAACTAGGGCTGGTATTATTTCCCTTTTTTAATAAAAAATAATCGTAGTGTGTGAGAGAATACACTTATGAGGAAATTCATTTACATTTAGTCTGTGGCATCTTACAGCAGGTAGGTACCAGTTTTCATCAAAGAGTATATATAGGGAAAAGAGAGCCCACGCGACAGTTTTTTTTTTTTAATACTGTGTGAAAACAGTACAACAGCCAGATAAAGGTTCACCGGGGGAAACTATTGGATAACAATACTATGTCAACGCGATGTAGGTAAAAAAATATATTTATAGCGATTGGTATGACTACATTATTATATCCCTTTAGAAAAAAAAAACAAATGAAATGTATGTATAGAACAATTAAGTGTTTATTTCAATATCATTAGGAGAAATACCGATTCTACAATCATATCTTAAAATTTCTGTTCTTCGATCAAACTGTCTATGTAGTATACTTTTCGAGTTATATAGTTTCTTCTTAACGAACAAGACTTCAACATTTACACACAAAGTATCACAATTGTCTTAAGAGTGCTATATTCTGTGTCTTCAAAATGAATAAAGTTGTATTATAATTTATATCAAGTATCAAAAAACAGAAGATTGCCACCTACTTTAAAGTTGATATATATAAAAAAAAATATTGATCCCTCGAGTTATTACAATTGTCTATGATGGCGTTCTTTTTATAACATAAATAATGTACTAACTAAAAAAATATTATTGAATGAATTATATAAAGTCAAATGATGTGACTTAATTGTTATATAGAAGTGTTTTAAAATTAACATAGCGAAAATAAGGTTAAGGGTTCTTTTTGATTTTACTAATTTAGTCGGTTTTGAATGTATACAGTTTTAGGATATTGTGGCTGTGACATTGTTCCATTACATTATGAGGAAAAATATTGCGTGTTTTGTTCTATTTTATTGTAAAAAAAAAATTCTTTTTCTTGTTATTATATGTACTCACCATTATATTGTTGTTTTTTGTGACATTATTTGTAATGGTTAATTTTGTCAATCAACCAACGAATGAATTTATTAACTTAGAATCAATTCTTTTTTAATCAGAATGCAATTCATACCTTATTAGGTAAATATGCATACATATGAGTTATTTTTTCTTAACTACGAATTCAAAGTTTGAGGTATACTTTTATTTATCACCTAATGTTTTTTTCCTTAACTACGAATTCAAAGCTTGAAATAAACTTTTTTTATTACCTAATGTTGACGACGCATTTGGTGAATAAGAGTTATATTTTATTGTCACAAATGTTTATTATATTAAATTGATGGTAATTATCTTAAAAATCGTCATTTAACGTTATCTAAACGCCAACAATCTCAAATATAATCATACATGCAACTCTTAAATATATTTTTTTTATTATTAAAGAAACTATTTTTTATTATTTTCAATTTTGTTTTACTATTATTCAAATAGAAAATTTCCAATGTATATTTTATTCTATCAGAAAGATATAGGTATTATTATATAAATTGTTACATTAAATGTGATAGTATTACTTATTAAATACCAAGGGGTGGTACAATCGTGTAGTATTAATTTTACTGTATTAGTTCATTATTCTTAATAACAGAGGGCGCTAATTTTATCACAAAGAAAGTTTATTTGGTGTTCTTTTTTGTTATTTTTCTTTTTTTTTTGGATTGTGTATAAGCGTTTTCTTGTCAATTACTTGATAAGAAATTTACTAATAAGTAAAGACGTTTCTTGAAACTCGCACGGAAGTAAGAAAGTCGCAAGTTAATTAAAGCTAGTTCTCTAATAAATTAATTCATGATATTGAATGATGTTAAGTAATCATAGTAGGTAGATTGAATTGGGTCATTGACTCTGCATAATATACATAAAAAGACATTCCACCTGAGTTCTTTTAGTATTATGATTTTTCCTAAGATCGAAAAATTTATAAAATTTCACTGATTCTCAAATAATTGTTATTCTTTCTATGAGTTTTTATGTTATACGTACCAAAAGTCAATCTATCTACTATCACTGATTGTTTTATGCACAAGAT